CTAACAAATAATCTCACGCTCCAGCGTAACTGCGCGAAGATCTAAATAACGACCTATTCACTACTTGTCTGGTTTCTTCTGTCAATAGCACGAGGGTTACCTAGAGGCACGAAAGCCTCACATTCACGATTTGACAGCTACCTTGAAAGGTACAACTGTCTTTTCGAAAATCGACTAGTTTAAAGCGTATAACCAAATCCCTATGTCTACTGACGATATTCCGAAAACAGCCATTATAACTCCCTCCGGACTCTACGAATTTTTGCGAATATCTTTCGGTATAAGAAACGCTGCACAAACATTCCAAAGGTTCATAGACGACGTTTTTCGAGGTCTCAACTTCGGACATGTGTATGTTGATGACATCCTAATGGCAAGTACGGACAGAGAATCATATCTCAAGCATCTGGATCTTGTTTTCGAACGACTACAAAAACATGGCATTACTGTAAACATTCAGAAATGCCAAATCGGAACTGACTCATCAGACTTCCTAGGACACACTATTGATGCGCAAGGCATTCGACCCCTTAGAACCAAAGTGGCGGCCATTCTGGATTGCCCAGAACCGACCACCGTCAAGCAATTACGCAAGTTTAACAGCCTTGTAAGTTTCTATAGACGATTCATACCGAAATGCGCGTTACTCATGAAACCACTAACCGACCAACTTCGTAGAAATGCGAATTCCATCAAGCTGGATGACACTGCGCATAAAGCATTCTCAACAGTTGAGGAACTTATCGCTCAAGCAACAATGCTTGTTCATCAGTACACTGAAGCTTCCATTGATATCGCAATAGACGCATCTGACTCAGCAATCGGAGGAGTCTTACAACAATGGGTTAACCACTCATGGCAACCTTTGGCATTCTTCTCGAGACGGTTGCTAGACACTGAATCGGGGCACAGCACTTTCGGTAGGGAACTCCTAGCTATGTACTGTGCTGTACGGCATTTTCAACACTATCGAAGGCCGAGAATTCACTCTTTTCACCTATCACAAACCTCTTATCTGCTCTTTAAGTTCATCTTCAGATAAGTACTTGTAGTGGCATTGGACAATAACCACACAATCCACAAAGCTGAACACGAGACTACTCAGAAAATAGATATTTAATATTTAACGCGGAGAAATACCTAACGATGGAGAAGGCGCGAACAATGAATTGAATGAATTAGAGTTGATCGCATGGTATATTTTTTATTCATATTAAATATATTGTTCTTTCTCTAGCCTAAGCTTGTTCTTCATCATGCATTGGTAGTTGTTACGATGCAGTGAGTTGGTGTAGACGATGATGTGACTACCACGTAAGATCTTATAGATTAGGCAGTTATATCATGACAAATCTACAAATTTAGGATTAGGTTTATTATTAGAGCAATACTAATATCATAATAGACCATAATTCCACGTACTCACCATATGAATCTCGACAACTGGACTACATTTCGCAGTTTACTTCAGACATTCAACACATTTTTGGAGCAAACAACGTAGTTGCAGACTCGTTGTCCCGCATAACTTCCTTGAACAGCTTCCAAGAAATCGACCTTCTTAAACTCGCCCAGCTTCAAAAAGAAGAAACTGATCTTCAGCACGAATTATCCTCAACAACACTTTAACCGTGAGTTAAACAGAAGGGAACAGGTAAGGAAACCTTACTGTGTGACACGTCTACAGGTAGGAATCGTCCAATCGTTGCCCGAAACATTATCGAAGCAACGTCTTTAATACGTTGCACAAACTTTCTCATCAAGGTGTTCGTGCAACCATCAAGCTTATAGCAGGACAGTCTTGCTGGCTTGGTATGAATAAAGACGTGAGGGAATGGGTACGCTCCTGTGTAAGCTGCCAAAAATCTAAGGTTATCAGACACAACAAATATTCCTTAGGCTCTTTCGAAACTCCCGACGCTCGTTTCGACCATGTTCACCTGGATTTGGTAGGACCTTTACAAGAATAAAATGGACACTCATATTTTTTAACCTGCGTAGACCGTTTCACTCGATGACCAGAAGCAGTACCTATCAAGGACATCATTGCTGAAACAGTGACCCGCGCCTTCGTCGAACGATGGGTAGCGAACTTTGGCTACCCTTCAACTATCACAACAGACGGTAGACGCCATCTAGAACCTGAACTTTTCAGTTGTCTGACCACACTTTTAGGAATCACTCGCTTCCGAACAACCGCCTGCCATCCCCAAGCAAATGGGTTGGTAGAACGCTTTCACCGACAACTAAAGGCTTCACTATCAGCTGCAAACTTTTCACAAAAAACATTTTGTAAAAATGGATTTTACACTATCACATGTAAATGAGTTTATCTTCCTATTTTCTCCTGCTTTGTGTCTTTACGCGTGTACGAGCTTATCTCGACATGTCCTTACACACGTTTTCCAGGGCGTCTGGAAAAGACGATAAAAAGAACGATGGGGTTTACGAGTGAACGAAATTTTCATTGTACTTTTTTTACTACTACTACTACTACTACCACTACTTCATGGTCACTTATCACAAGAAAGGTCGACCAGGCGCTGCTAAACCTAGCAAGCTAACAGAAGAGTGTTTACCAACGGCAAACTCGTTGGGTTTAAACTTCTGGCTGGCCACGTCTTAGGGTTATCACTACCCTACTACGGGGAGGGGAAGTGATCTGTAGCGGTAAATAAATCCCCAAAATAAATAGATCTGTAAGTCTTCAACATTGGATGCTGACCACATTAGTTTTAATGGACTCACCTAGCTGAAGGTGCTCGATCATGCATCCGCACCAGATCACGAGTGGGAACGCCGTGCTCAACAACCCCTGCAATCGCTAGCCAGATTAGACGATCCTCGATATATTGATAACATACCAAATATATCTTCGAAGCTTCTCGCTCCTATCTTTTGATTTCGCTTGGTGGGTACGATTCATATTAGAGGGTGTTCGTGGTTAAAGCGTCGTCAAAATCCGAATACCTATGGCATCTTCAACTTCTTTTCTGGTGAGCTTGTGCGTCTGTTTGATCTCCTCCTGAATGATTCATCAGAAGTTCGAGACACCACATGTTTATGTATTAGTTTTATGAAGTGACCAGCTGACAGACTCGTTTAAGGTAAATACCGGTGTCAGGCAAGGTTGCTTACTCACAATTGATTGATTACTGGGTGGTAATCACTGTCATATGTGTCAAGCACTTCTTAATGCAGACCGAATGCTCACTTTCAATCTTTCCCCTGGTGATCGACTGGATCATAAAGATGTCAACATCTGGTGGAAGCATGGGATACAGTGGACAGATAGGATGCAGCTGGATGATCTAGACTTCGCGGATGATATGGCTCTTCTATCGCATATGCGACAGTAAATGCAGGAGAACACGACCAGTGTAGCAGCCTGAACAGCAGTAGGTTTCAATATACTCAAAGAGAAAAGCAAGATTCTCCGATACAACACAACATGCACCAATCCAATCACATTTCACGCAGAAGATTTGGAAGATGTAAAAACCTTTACATATCTCGGCAACATCATTGATGAATACGGTGGGTCTGATGCAGATGTGAAAGCGCGGATCGGCAAAGCAAGAGCAGTATATTTTTTGTGGTCGTGAATCTGACTCCATTTAAGATTGTATCGAATGTTTGTTGTCGCCTATTCTCGAATATTATCGTCGACTTAAATCGCATTATCCAATAACGGAATTAAATAAGTCGAATAACGATAATTGACTTGACAATACATACATTTCGAATATGAAGCGAATAAAAGAGTAGAGCAAAATGACACGTATGGAAGATGGCTGGGAAGCCAACTCCCTCTTTGTCAAGAGTTACTCAATATTTATAGTCAGACAAAATAAAGCTACAGACATGTGATTAATAGGATAAGAAGGGCACACACATATACGCTCATATAAAAACAGTCTAGATTGATAAGCGAATAAATAACAAGGTCAAAGTATGGCTCGAGCAGAATGAATAAAATGGGATGTCCGGAAGCTAGAATAAGGTATATGGGCTTGGCATAATAACTGACACTACATATTCACAACAGAAGAACATCTGGAACTCAAAACAACTGTCAAACAATACCAAAGTCAGAATTTTCAATACAAATGTCAAGGCAGTGCTACTGTATGGGGCGGAAATCTGGAGAACTATGAAAGCCATCATCCAGAAGAAACAAGTGTTTGGTAACAGTTGTCTACGCAAAATACTTCGGATCCGTCGGCCGGACACTATCAGCAACAACCTACTGTGGGAGAGAACAAACCAGGTTTCAACGGTGGAAGAAATCAGAAAGAAGCGTTGGAAGTGGAGGGAACACATATTGAGGAAAGCATTCAACTGCGTCACATGGCAAGTCCTCATATTGTATTCTCAAGGCTAAAGAACACATTACTGCGAGAAACTGAGACAGACATGAGAAGAATAAATAACAATTGGATATAACTAGAAAGGAAGGCCCAGGACAGAGTGGGTTGGAGAATGCTGGTTGGCGGCCTACGCTCCATTGGGAATAACGGGCGCAAGTAATAAGTCAATAACTGGAACGCCCTACCCGAACAAGTTGTATCAGTCCCATTAGTGAATACATTCAAGGAGAAGCTGAGCTTTCACTGGAAGGTAATCTTTCAGGATCAACGCAGGTTTACCAACTCACCATTCTTATTACAAAAGACGGATATTCTAACCCGTGAAGTTGACATGAAATCTGGCATAAATCTAACTGAAAAAATGAGATAATTCTGTCTTTTACATCAGCCAGTTTTTTTGTTGTCAACTGAAGTGATGCTCTTTCTGGTATCTTGAGGACTCACCCAAGTATTAACCTCTCTGTAGATAACCACCATCTCCCACAACCTAAACTCAGATCCGCGAGAACCAACAGATCTCCGATTCTGCTCAGTAAATTTTAAAGGATTTTCGTAATGAACTGTTTTGAAGGCTGAGTTTCAGTTAATTCATACTAACTGGTCATAAAAACACTGGATATATATTCGATATTACTATTTCAGAAGCATATTTCAAGAATAATCTTGCCAGTTCGAGGTTTGATGTTGAAGGTTATAGGATGAGCCGCGATACTCGAAAGTAGACGTAAGTTCCTATTTGACTATCTGTGACTGAATTCCTCCATAAACTCTTAAATTTTGTGCAAAGTTGCTTGTTTTATGTCTATAACATGTTTATATCCGTCCATATTTTGCAATGTGGTCAGTGCAATTGGATGTTTTGACTACTTTAAGTGATAATTATCACTCCCAGTGGCTTGTGTTTTGTTTACATGCCTGATATCTTACGCAAATATATTACAATATTAGTTTTTAAATCAATACGGTTGTCTTATGCCTAGTTTTAGCCAGTTCTAGTCCCGAAGAGATGGCAGGTCGATCCTTTCAAAGAGTCAAGAACGTTGAGATTTCTTAATCTCCATATTTTGAGGAACGTTTAGGGAATTTTGGGGTTTTCCCCAAAGTCTTGGGAAAATTTGGAGAAAAATCACAATGTTATAAGGTTCTGGGGAAATATTGGGGAAAACCCGAAGTTTCTCCAAATATTTTGGGAATTTTCTTCGGACCTGGGGGAATTTTCAGGTCTTCCCCCAAAATTTACTCAAAACTGACAAAATGTTTCCCCAAAATAGGGAGATCGGTATGTGACATTTTTCTTCGTGGAAGCATGCAAATCGACCGTATTGTATTGGCAAAGGTTTTAGGAACTTATGGACACAAACAATCAAAAAAGGGGAAATAAAGGCGAACAAAGGGGAAATAAAAGGGTAAATGCTTTGGTAGCGAAAGGGGAAACGCGCCAGAATTTCGCCTTTTTCGCCCGTCCGGGGGAAATAATGCGGGTTTCTCCCTTTTACCCGCTTTGTCGAAGTACATGAAAACTTAAGTTCTGGATGCGGTTCATTCAAATACTATACGTTACGTATAATTGTCGACAAATTTTCCCCAAATACACGACGTAAGGGGGGAAAGCGACATTTCCCCCAAATAACCGACGTAAAGGCGAAAAAGCGATATTTCCCCTTTATTTACGCTTTCGTCCTCTTTATTTCCCCTTTCTTCGCCTTTATTTACCCTTTTGTGTTGCTTGGGGACCGTTAGATTTAATACACCGGGGAGTTTTCGACTTAAAACGTAAATGTGTACCCATGATTTCCTCACTTAAGGAGTCGTAGTGATCCACTAGCCATTAACCTTGATAGTAATTGTTAAGCACTAACTATTCTATAGTGCGGAATGACATTTTGGTGAAAACCTCAAATTTTTCTCGCAGCAATTGCAGACTTCTTGATAGAAGCTCGAAATAGTGATGTCCATAAATCCGATGTTTATGATCAGTTAGCATTATTAAACTGGAACTCAGCCTTCAAAACAGTTCATTACGAAAATCCTTTAAAATTTACTGAGCAGAATCGGAGATCTGTTGGTTCTCGCGGATCTGAGTTTAGGTTGTGGGAGATGGTGGTTATACCAGAAAGAGCATCACTTCAGTTCATAATAAAAAAACTGACTTATGTCAGACGACATAATCTCCCTCAGTTGTATTAGTTCTGAAGCGGATTTCAAGTCACTTTTTTAAAGAAGTAACAAAAGCTCCCATAACTTTATTCCTGAGATGTGGATTGTTTCAGAATTTCGATTTATGATGGGAAGGTTCACATGTGCACTGTCTTTATTGTCATCCCATATGTGGTTTATTTTAAAGTACGTCATTGATTCGCTGTGATGAATAAGGTTATAAGTTGTATGAGAGCGTTGCCATATATTTCATATTTCCCTATAGTACACAAATTGCAGGTTCGATGAATTTAGATTAGCTGCTCGGGGTATTATTCTGTTGTAAAATAGGTTTTGGTTGCTCTTTTCATTTTCATTTTTAGGGTAGTGATATATTTAAGATGAGGGGAGACTAATGGTTAGTATTTAGTGGAATTTTATTAAATAGTGAGACAGGAAATGCAGCAAGATAAAATATTGCGGTGGTATGCTTTGAGATGCAGTCCAATAGAAAAACATGCTCCTGTGGCTTTTATTCCGTTCTGTACACCAGGGCCCCCAAATGCTCTGGTATGGCCGAGAGTGGGGAGAGTCAGCTCTCCCTCTCGAAATGCTCTCACACGGCCACGCGTATATAGCCTCTGCCAGGGAAGTCCTACTGACTGCCTTCTCGCAGCGGGGCTGTTTTTCACAAAATCGAGAGGACGCAAAGCGAAACCCTGGCGCTTTAACCGGGTTGGTGGACACAGAGGGTCCCCCTAGGGGAGTTGGAAAACCCTGATTCCAAACCAATGGTGCACATGTGCTCCATTATCCTGAGGGAAAAATGGCGTATAAACCAATTATTGGTCACTGGCTACCATGGAACTGCATCTTCTGACGTTGCTCCACTGCCTTGTGGATTAGACCTTTAAGTCGAAGGCTCGGTGTATGACTCTAAGAAAATCACCTGCTTCGATTTGGGCACCTGGGCAGTATCCCAGCCTCACCACACAAATCGAATGATTTGCGTGGCTCATATGTACTCGGTTCCCCCTTTGTACCAATATTTATGTGTTCAGATAAGTAAATAAATGTGAAGCAGGGTTCGGTCCTGGGACTTTGTGGCTGAAATTCGGACGCCTTCTCATATGATATCTCCCTTTACGCTTAAAGTTGGTCCTTGCTAAGGATAAACAGTTGTCTAAAGATGGTTGCAACAGATGGTCACCGTTGTCTTTTCGTCGAGCTGGGACACTGGAAAACCCACTTGTCTTTCACTTTGGTCCAAACTGTCTACTCGAGCATCATGCATAAATCAGCTAGGCCAAAACAGGTGTGATCCATGGTACGCGGAGATTAAATCGCTCTGGTTCTCTGCATTAAGTAGATGAGGTCAAGTGAGTGGCCACACTCGAATTCTGTGTACTTGTTTCCGAGATAGCATACATTGACGGGATAGGATTCTGGGATTCTAGTTAAGGTAGCCTGTTAGTTTATTTATCATAAAATCCTAACATTCAAAGCTCCAACATGTAATCTAGAGTGTAGTTTTAAGAAATTAAGATTAATATTTCATGGGTTAAAATACTTGTCACTAGTAGTACATGGAGTTAAATTCATACAAGAAGGATCGATGGACGTTAAGAAGGAATATTAAGTTAAAAAGTGATTCGACTGGGAATAATAAGATCTCTAGTACTGTCAGGTTTGAAAGCGACTGTCGCTTCCCAGTTGCCCGCATTATGGAAGGATGTTTTCTCCTTGAAGATTAGTGGTGGTCTTAGCAACTTGGGCACGTGACCACAGAATCCGAGCAACAACTTGAAGCCTGTTACATACAACCTTCCTATGAATTTTTATGTATTGTCTCCGTGCTTCAAATAGTTTCACCGCCGCTGACTGAAATTCGCAGTGTAAGATGAGGTGTGACATACGAGGTCCTATATTACTTATGACTTAGTACTGTAATAAATTGTTAGGCCGCATATCAGTCACTGATTCAGTGTAGCTTTTAGAGGTTTCTCAAGTTAAGTCATATTCTTAAACTATAATGGATAAATATGTGAATAGTTCGGTGAATTAAATATGAATATGGTTATCAAGTCTCACCTATTTCCAAAACGTTTTTCTGGCTTGTGCTCTATATCATATCAGGTAAGAACTTCAAATGCGTGCATGTAAACATTCATTTCTTAGTATTTTGGTTGCTAATCATCAAGGTTTTCCATTTAAAAAGATAGAAAATTTACTTTCTTTTAACTTGCTAGTAATTCTGAATCAGATTTAATTATGTGTTCATTTTCATTGGATGAATGGTAATCAGTTTTATCTTGCGATTTATTCCATTGTCAAGCACCTATGTTTACGTTTCATAACTTGATATTCGTCTATTTCCTTTGTGGTTATTTTTCAGTGTCTAAGCCGAAATGAGCCTATGTCTTATCACTGTTTACTACATAGTATACATACATGTATGAGTAGATGGATGAACTACCTGCTATTCAGTTATCCGATCTAAATGAATTTATAACATGTAAATTATGTAAAGGTTATTTAATTGATGCTGTTTCGATAACTGAATGTCTTCACCCATGTAAGTGGGATATTTCTTGCCTTGTAATATACATTAAATTTTTTAGTCTGTAAATCTTGTATAGTTAAGTATTCAGAAGAAAAACGCGAATGTCCTGTTTGCGGGATTCTCATCCATCAAAGTCACCCATTAAATTATATGAGGTTTGTTTCACTTAATGGTTTTATGTTTTCTATTTTCATATGATAATAGTTTTGATCGTACTCTTCAAGATATTGTTTATAAAATTGTACCAGATTTAAAACAAAGTAAGTGTGCTGTTCGCCTTATTTAACAAAACTTTTTGTAGAAGAGAGACAACGTCGTGAGGTCTTCTATAGATCTCTTGGAAAAACTCCACCTCCCTCAGAAGGTAATATTAGTACAGTAATTTATGAATAAATTAAATGTATCATGATATACCCGTTAAGCCGCTAGCTGATTTATTCGACTGAGGAAAACGGGAAATTTTAGTTGATGATTTACTATATAGTCTATGATAACCATTTCCACCTTCCTAGTCATGTAGTCCATTCTTACTCAATGTAGTGTTTCCTCAGAATCGTTAATTGTTTGGGTGCAAATGTTATCAGGTCTCAGCGGACGTTCATACAATGTTACTTACGTGTAGCTTTCATTTGTCTTTCCATTGTTCTTCGTATTCTTAGTTACTTCATTATTGGCACTGGTATTAAGGTGGATTCGATTGGGTGTGTAATTTAAGGAACAGTTTCTTATAGTGAAAATATTAGTCTTGGAAATAACACCACAAGCCACACTCAGAATACTTAACAGTATTAATTGGATCTATACCGTATGAAAAATTAATTTCCCATCCTATGTTAATCACTATTTCTAGTTTTACTGCTTTTGGTATGACGTACCACACTCTAGAACCAGAGGGTTTAATAGTTTTAGCTGATAGAATCGATATAAGTCAGTGTACCAGACTGGTTTGACCCACTACGTTTACATAACTCAAATCAGTATATGTGATCAAAAAAGCCGAATACTGCATTAATATACTAGTTGTGTTTACATATTTTCGTGCAGTATGACAGTTGTACTTTCATGGAAATAGATTTTATATTCGTTTTTGTAGCACTAGTTTCGGCTAGAAGCTTTTTGGTGTTTCTACTTTAGAAATCAACTTGTAATTATAATATCTAACCAATCCACTGATTTCATCATAATTCAAGTAAAGGACTTGATAGATTATGTATAGGGTAGCTCACAGAATATCTTTACTCGTACACTTATGTTTGACTCTTGTAAATTGCAAGGATGTAAACCACACATGACATAAGAGTTTAGTATGTAAATGGATTGGATAATTATAGATATGGTTGGTTTGAAGTTGTATAACAATTCAAGTCTAGGCACTTAGGTTACTAAGAATAACATTAACATTACAGAGTAACTTAAATTGATCTAAATGTTTACAGTCTGATAACTGCCGATAAATAGTGTATGAGTCCTAAACTAATTTTGAGAATTCTGTAGGTTATATCAAGCTTGTTAATTACACTATTCCAGTCGTTGCTCGTTGGATATTTTTGAGTAGATCAATTTTTGTACCAACGATATTTGATGTTTACGAATTTGTTTGTTATTATTTCGATGAAAATTCAACAGACTTAGGCAAAGAAACTCATGTATTAGTCAGTAAAGAGAATATCACAGGTGCAGTTCCATCTGATTCTGACGGATTAACTTCCAATTTTGATTCGGATTATCATCGTAAAGATGAACAAGTCAATATACAACTTGAACCGGGATCTGATAATCTGGAACCATTAACTGAGAAATATTTACGACTTTCATCGAGGGCTACAGTGACACACTTACGAAAATATGTTGCCCAACAAGTTCTTCATGATATATCTAAGTTTCATGAAGTAGGTCAAGTGATTTTTTTCTCCCTCATTAAAATTTTGATGTTTCAGTATTTGAATTGAACATTCTAACGAAGACGTATTCTTTTAGTTACTAGGCTGTATATTTTCATTTATTTGCATTTCATTGTACACAATCTGAAAAAATGATTAGTTTTTATTCTATTGAAGAAATTTCAAATTCGATAAATAGATGTATCAGTCAGTTAGAGGTATGTGGTGGGTTGTCGATTCCGGGTTTCTCATGTCTTCGAAGAATATTTTTTTGAGGTTCATGAAAAGGAAACTGGGTTTTGAGTGATCATGAGGTCCTGGTAGTATGATTGCACTGCCCAAGAGACAATTATTTGTGGCCGGTTACAAAGCCTTTGTGTAGGGAGTTGTAGATTAGTTAGTTTTGTACTTTTGAGGCCTGACTGCCGTCGACGGAAATCCTTGAGGGTAAGGTGAAGTGTGCTTTTTTATGGCCAACTTTTATATTCCTCCTTACATTGTGAGACAGGATCGCTTGAAATGGTGTTTGAGGGAAACAACTTACTGCCACCATACTTCAGTGTCAACAGCACAACCTCGCCCTTCAACCTTAAGTTGCTTCTCTTCAACTGGCATTCCTGCCATGTTAATATTTTAAGAAACAAGTGTTAGCCAATAAGTCTCAGTTGAGTCGTCGTGATAAAGAAGCCCGACCATCACATCAAGATTATACCTACGTTTGGGATCAATGTGCAATTTTTAAAAAACGGCGGTTCATAATGATGAGCTGTGTTATGATAGCTTAATATCAACGCAGTTCGAAATAGTGTTTTATTTCGTGAATACCTACATACGAAAAACTAATAAAATCAAAACTTTATCTAGACTATTGTTCCATACAATGTCGATTTCGGAAGCTGAGCTTAAATGGATTTTTTATTTCTTGGCAAATATGTTATCATCAGTATAGGGTTATTGAGATTGCTGAGTTATCTAGGGATTAGGCGTTCGCGTGCGAGACCGAAGGTCCTAGGTTGGATTCCCACGTTTGGGATCGTGGATGCGCACGTCTGAGGAGTCCCATACTAGGACAAGGCGGCCGTCCAGCGCTTCTAGGTTTTCAATTGTGATCTAACATTAATTGGTCCATGATCTCAATTAAGAATATTCTTGTTGGGTCATTTGGTAGGATATAAGTGATTGTTATTGTATCAGCTTTGGTTGAGATCATGAATGGATCAATGTTAGACCACCATTAGAAACCTGAAAGCATTGGATTGCCGTTTCGTTATAGTATGGGTCTCCTGAGCAGTGCGCATCTACGATCCCGCACTTGGGATTCATACCTAGGACCTCCGGTCTGGCGCACGAACTCTTAACCCCTAGATTACTGAGTCGGCATCCAACGGTGTTAATGTCTAACTTCAACCAATCCACGATATTGTGTGACTGTGTTTCATTGTCTTCAGTGATTAACTTCCTTCTGAACAGACAGTGGAATTCAAGTTATTATTATTATTATTTCAACACATACATAATGGTACAAAGAGGCACCAAATACATATGCGCCACACAAATCTCATTCGATATGTGTGAGGGCTGTGATACTGCCCAGGTGCCCAAACCGAAGCAGGTGGTTTTCTTAGGGGGCCACTCCCCGAGCCTTCGACCTGAAGGTCTGATCCACAAGGCAGTGGAGCATCGTAAGGAGATACAGTCCCATGGAAGCCGGTGACCAACAATTGGTTCATACGCCATTTGTTCCCGCAGGATACTGGAGCCCATGTGCACCATTGGTTTTGAATCCGGTTAAAGCGCCGGACATTCGCTTTTCGTCCTCTCATTTTCGTAAACAACACCCCCGCCACGAGAAGGCAGTGAGTAGGACTTCCCTGGCAGAGGCTATATACGCGTGGCCGTGTGAGAGCATTTCGAGAGGGAGAGCGGACTCTCCCCACTCTCGGCCGTACCAGGGCATTTGAGGGCGGAATTCAAGTTGTCACGACTTTTCAATAGAACTTCAGGAAATCCATCTTGAAGCTAGTCACTAGTGAGCACATGATAATTATGGGTATAGGGTTGTGGAGATTGTTGAGTTTTGATTGAGATCCTGAATGGATCAATGTTGGATCACCATTGAAAACCTGGAAGCACTGGGTGTTTCGTCAGATTTGTGATGCAAACTGTTGGTGTAGTAGTCTAGGTAAAAACAACTACTCTTTAAGGGGATTTATTGTTAAATATATGAAAATATTCAATATAGTCATGACGTTTAATAGAACAAGCTTGGAAAATCAAAATCACTCAAACGATTTAATTGTGAAGCTGTCTTCGTTCAACTCAGAGAGTACAACAACAACAAAACCATCCATTTGAGCTTCAAATCTCCATAATTTCTGAGCATACATGTTTTCTTGATAAGCTAAACTGACCTACTACGCAGTGAATTTTAATAAATTGTGATAACCAAATGAAAAGTTTTACAGTACACTTTGAAGAGGTGTATGCTTAAAAACAATAAAAAAGAAGGTCCCGGAATTGAAATAGGAGTTCGTACAGAAATTTTTGTTAATATAAAATAGTAATTACCCAGGAACTATGCAACAACAAAATGATGGCTCACGTACAATACGTAAAAATACCTTAAGTCAAATTGATAGAAATAAAATGTAGATAGTGTTTAAAGGGATAATTTATGGAAACCAAGAAACGAACACAATACATGAATGCAATCTCGGTTGGTCATAATTAGTTTGAGGATAAAATGGCAATTGTCTCTTCAATTTATATTTCTCTATCATTGAGAAACACTGTCATGATTCCATGTGGTGCTACATAAAAACCTAAAGAGTTTTGGTTTCGTCTCATTGCTTTTTGTCAAATGTGTTCGTCTACTGAAATTCCATGCTATAATCTGCAATACAAATTGTTAAAGGATTAATCATAGTATTTCTAGTGTCCAAACATTAGATGTTTAAACTATAAGGGAACATTCCACCGGTTTGCACTAATTCATTAGTACCATTATTATTTTTTTTAAAGGTCACAGTTAATTGGTAGACAGTATAATAAGCATATAACCTAAACATTCCACGTATCATAATATGCATTATTTGTGCATTATTTGCTGACTCTGGGACTGGTTGGAGAAAGCGGAGAGGTGGTCAGTATATGACATGGTGTCGTGGTATGAAAGAAAGCTGAAAAGGGCTGGCTTGTATCGGTCCTTCACGACTCCCTGGTTGGGGTCCGAGAGATGGTACAACACAGTTGCTAGATAGGTTATCAGATATGGCTCAGAATAGAAGCCAGTGGCGATCCTGCTGTAACCCTCTTTTACTTTCTTCATGAGCAGTGGTTGTATCTTCCTTAACTGAAAGATTTCTTCTGATTGTACCCTTCTGTTCCCCTACTATTACTATTATTATTACACTACCTTACACCAATCTCTTCGTTTTTTTTTTACGTTCCCCACTCTTTTTCTTTTTCTTCTTAAATTCTCATTGTTTTGTGTGGCGCATATATATTTGACGCACTCCTGTACCAATATATATGTGTTCAAATAAATAAAATCGTAATATGGTCTTTCCCATTCTCGGTATACACTATTCGCATGTTTATTCCTTTAGCTTAACATTGTTTTTGTTACAGTCTTCACTGTTTCTTTCTTTCCTTGTTCTATTTTTATTAAATATATGTAGATTGATATTTTTATACAAAATAATGAAGATGGTACTTTTCTTGGTCGCGATCATGTATTAAAATTTGTTCGTGTTGTTTATTGGAATGATGTAAGTGTTAATGTTCATTAAAGCTATCTTAATAATTGCACCAAACCATTAATTAAAGTTAAAACTTTTTATCATTGAATCTCGTGCATGTTCCAAAACTTAAAGTTCCTAGTTTTGGTTGTACGTGTGTTTACGAAGGATGAGGTAAAAGGGGAGTTCCGGATGCTCATTGCTAAAAAGTCCCTTGCTAGGACGAAATGGCTATTTCAATGCTCCCTAGTTTTCAATGGTACTTCAACTGAGGTCGTTTTCTGATGAACACAACCTATAGAATTCTCATTATTCTTGTAATCCATCTTTATTGTTTCATATGGTTATTTTTCTCTTAATACATCTTTTGCTTTTTTCATTTATAGGTCGAACCGATGCCACTGCAATATCGTTACAGCAGAATAATTTACTAAAATGAATTAAGTTACCTTTATTTCTATCTTTCAAAAAAATTATTTTCCCTTTTTGTTTTTTTCTTTTCTTTTTTAAATTCATATTTACCACTGTGTTGATTTTATTTCCATATCCTTCATCGATAGATAACACTATGATATATGTACAACAACCACAGTACTACAGTAGATTATGTGGAAAAAAAACCCACCATCGTATAATTGATTTTTTATTTGTTTGTTTTACTCTTTATTGTTTCCATCTGTACGTAAAACAAAAACGAAAAGAAGTCAGCAAATCTATTGCAGTTAGTTGTAAATTATAGGTTTAATTATAAGTAATTTTGTCATCTTTATTGTATATGTATATATTATACATAACATGACGTATTCTTCTTTTTACACTGTGAATAATAATTTTTTACAATTTGTAATTTATGATAAATGCCTTTTATTATACGCGCTGTTAATGAAGAAGAAACTAAAAAAAAAACTATTTCAACATATATTTGTTACTTTTTACTATTTCTGTTTGACTGAATGTTGTATGTTGCTTAATGTTATGTAATGTTACTATTGGTTGGGGTTATTTGTCACTTTTTTTTTAAAAGAAATGACTTACAGCATGATTTAAAAAAAAATCATTGCGATAATTAACCAAACAATGAAATTTGTTGAATTGTATCATTCATTTATCAATTTAGCTTTATCATTCGGAGTGATGAGCCAATAAGCGATGAAAAAAGTAATGAGTTAATTATTTAATGGGGTGGACATGTTCAGACCTGTTGGAACTGCCTTAATAATAATAATGATAATAATAATAATAAGCTTACGATTTACTATGCTACCTCTTCGACCTTTTTAATCCGACCCACTCTATTTACTACACAATGCGTTGATTGTAACAGTGTGTATGTTGGTAATAATACTGTTTTGTATCAAAATATAATGCTCATTAGTTGTTTTTGCTTGTTAGTCTGAACCTATGTTCTAAATAGTGTCATATACAAAGTTGGAGTCATTGATGGCATGTTAATGAGAATTACTAGTTTTTAAAACTTGTTAAGTCTACTATTCTTCTCAAACTTCTGAAACTTGTGTCATGACTTCTGTCTTTTTCAATTATATACTTCGGTTTTTCTTATTTATTTTGTTACTCCACTTGTTTCAATGCAGCACTACTTACCACCGTTCTGTGTTGTTTTAGTCAGTTAGCCAAATTTGATAAACTGATTATATTTTTTTAATAAATGTTAAGAAATATTAAGTCCTATGGTCTGTTTACTTGAGAACTTGATGCCAAAATTGCGTTAGCAAGCGATTGTTTTTAACTCATTTACCAGGTATGGATAAGTGTACTTGGCTTCGAGTCACACTTTAAGTATGAGGCCTAGGGATAATACCTGGTTGCCGAAACTAAATTAGGTGGAGGCGTTCGGACTTGCGAATTAGTGACTAAAATTCAAACACTATGACCACTAAGCCGCCGTCATACTATCACTTAGCAATATGAAATGCTTACATAAATCTCTAGTGGAAAGCTTTTAAAAGGAAAGTACTTCACATTATTCATTAGGGTTGGAAATGTTTAATAACTGATGTATTTCATGCCTTTTGTCACCCATATATAGGTGCCACTTTTATTTGTGGTATGGGCGACATTACTTACAGTTGATCATAATTAATAGAAATGTGAAACTTTCCTTTTTCTATAGGATCTTCAAAAATTGCATTATGTACCTACTGCTGGGTGATATTTTGTGCTTCATGCTAAAATCTTTTTAATTTTTGTGGGACATGCCAGCTTTGCACAATGAGCTGTCATGAGTGTTCCTGAGTTCAGACTCTTTGTTAGATGTAGAATTTTTCCTGGATTTATTGTAAAATACCTTATTATGCTGAACTTCCAAATAGTGTTTCTTTTAAATGATCTAGATTCATAACTTGTTGTTTATGTTTTACATAGCATAATTCAATCCCCATTTATATCATTCGTTAACCTTTATTTTTGAAGGACTGAAGGTATTTTTTTGATCAAGAAGTAAATCTACATAAACTACTATGCATTTTTGATAATTACAAATTAACTGGATTTGTTTGTAAAATATTATCTGAAAAAGGTGATCTCACAGCGTACTTCAATTTTTATACTTTCAATTCATTTCAATTAAGTAAACATAGTAATTTTGTTAGTCCTTAAACGTGACGTTTAGCTTGATGTCCTACTGTCTTCTGTTTTTTTTTATTATAAAAAATACCTTTAAATCATTTTAATAAATATGATCACTGATTGAATAATGTTCTGTGATTTCGACTTTTGATATAAAATCGATATCATCTTTTTGATTCATTTATTTTCTTTGAAAACTTACAACATGGGTTGCATTTTTTTCTCAATGAACACTTTTAGATAAAGGCGAATAGTATCTTTCCCATCATTTAATGGTGCTGTAACGATTAGCATCATTTGGTCACCTTTGAAATTGAGGATTTAAAACAAAGGTGCGTTTATTTTTTGTTTGAATAATAATATATTATTGTTCTCATGCACTGTTTTTCATTACTATATTGAACAGTATTTAATTGAACTTTGAAATAGACTTTCGTTGATCGCAATTTGTTTTTTTCTTCATCAGTTCAGTTAAATGAGTAACTTATGTTTTCCTTTCATAATCTATAAGTTTTACCCATTGTTATAAATAAAAATAATATATTTGTAATATCCCAATGAGTAGAAAATTGGATTTTCTGACGTTTCGTGACTTAGTGTAAGTCACTTCTTCAGAGAATAAATAACCAAATTAAAAATTGTTCCGTTGTACTATATAAACTTGGATTAATTTTAATTTGGTTATTTATTCTCTGGAAAAGTGACTTACACTAGGTCACGAAACGTCAGAAAATCCAATTTTCTACTCATTGGGATATTACAAATATATTATTTTTATTTTTATTTATAACAATCAACCCAATGCTCAATTTATTCGAAATTTCATGCGATTGGTTCCCTTTATGAATTTAAATAAAGCAAGAACAAATATTGATGCAGAATAGTATGAATTCATATTGTTTCGAGGTTTCTCGTCAGCTGCTTAAAAACCAAAAAATGTGATAGAATTTTTACATTGAGATAGAGTGAAAACAAATGACATAGATGAGTGTAAATAACTGGGTTACAATAATAACTATACATATATATATATATATATATATATGCTAGAACAGGTCAGAGATCAAAAGGAATTAATTCGGGTTGGGTGGTGTAATAATGCAATTGAATAATCATAAGATAGGTTACGTAATAATAATTAAATAGAATATGAAAAGTTAAGATAATTTAGGAGGATCAGGTGGTGGAAATGCGTAAATAATAATGTGGTTTAAGAATTATGTAATAGGGGAGGAATATAAATATTTTAAAGTAAATAAAAATAAAATAATAATAATAAAGGGTTACCAGGGTAGTGATAAGCTAATTAACGTCTCTTTTTGAATGCATAAGTCAGGTTTAAGTTTTTTGATCATAATAGCTTCAGCAAAACGGAGGGTGGTCGTATTTCTTTGTCTATTGATAACTTTGAAAGCATGAGGAATGTCGATGGTGTGCCCGGTGTCAAGTAGATGTCGAGCTATTGCACTGTTGAAAGCCCTGGTCCCACGCAGTTTCAAGTTTTTTGGAACGTGCTCAGAAATGCGGACATGCATTCTTCTCTCAGTTCTTCCAATGTATGTGCTTTGGCACGTACATGTAAATTGGTAGATGCAGTTGGAGCTACTAAGAAAAGAGGGCTTGTCGATTTTGGTTTGTTGAAGTGAGCAGTTCGTTTGCCATACTGTCATAAGTTTTGCTGCTGGGTAGGTGACTTTCAACGCAGAGTTTATTCTTTGATTGATTATTCCAGCGATTTCATCACCTTTGAAACGTAAGTGTAAAAAACAGGTTTTTCTTTCTACTCCATCGTATTTTGTATGAGGATTGCTTTTGGCATATTTCTGGATAAATTTCAATGGGTATTCATTATCGCGTAGAACATTAGTAATCAGATTAATTTCATCATTAAGGTATTCTTTTGAACAGATTTTTTGAGCGCGGTCAAAAAGGGTTCGTACAATACCCTTTTTGTAACTCATTGGGCAGAAACTGTGGTAATTGAGATAAAGACCACTCCAGGTATTTTTATGGTGAATATGTCTATGTAATTTACCATCAGATGTTCGTCGGATCCCAACATCGAGGAAATGGAATTTGTCTTCAGCTTCTTGTTCCATAGTGCCTTGAACCAATACGAAAGAAACTAACACCTTACAGTCTAAAAGATAGTTTTGAATTTGTACAAAAACTCGACAACCTAAATGTTTCCGATAAATTTATGGTTTCATTTGACGTCTCATCGCTCTTCACAAACATCCCCTTGGAAGAAACGAGAGAGATCATATGTGATTATCCTGAACTTCTACCCCTACCAATCCATGATTTTAAACAGCTTCTCTTCTTATGTACAAAAAACATACAATTTCAATTCAATAATGTCCTTTACCGCCAAATCGATGGAGTTGCCATGGGTAGCCCATTGGCCCCGATTCTCGCCGATATATTTATGGGAAACCTAGAACAAAAAAAGCTTAGGCACGTAATCGATGGTACTACACTGTATTGCAGATATATTGATGACACATTCCTCGTCTGCAACAATCACGATCACTCCATTAAGCTACTCGATCTATTTAATAAAGCACACGAGGACATAGAGTTTACTATGGAACAAGAAGCTGAAGACAAATTCCATTTCCTCGATGTTGGGATCCGACGAACATCTGATGGTAAATTACATAGACATATTCACCATAAAAATACCTGGAGTGGTCTTTATCTCAATTACCACAGTTTCTGCCCAATGAGTTACAAAAAGGGTATTGTACGAACCCTTTTTGACCGCGCTCAAAAAATCTGTTCAAAAGAATACCTTAATGATGAAATTAATCTGATTACTAATGTTCTACGCGATAATGAATACCCATTGAAATTTATCCAGAAATATGCCAAAAGCAATCCTCATACAAAATACGATGGAGTAGAAAGAAAAACCTGTTTTTTACACTTACGTTTCAAAGGTGATGAAATCGCTGGAATAATCAATCAAAGAATAAACTCTGCGTTGAAAGTCACCTACCCAGCAGCAAAACTTATGACAGTATGGCAAACGAACTGCTCACTTCAACAAACCAAAATCGACAAGCCCTCTTTTCTTAGTAGCTCCAACTGCATCTACCAATTTACATGTACGTGCCAAAGCACATACATTGGAAGAACTGAGAGAAGAATGCATGTCCGCATTTCTGAGCACGTTCCAAAAAACTTGAAACTGCGTGGGACCAGGGCTTTCAACAGTGCAATAGCTCGACATCTACTTGACACCGGGCACACCATCGACATTCCTCATGCTTTCAAAGTTATCAATAGACAAAGAAATACGACCACCCTCCGTTTTGCTGAAGCTATTATGATCAAAAAACTTAAACCTGACTTATGCATTCAAAAAGAGACGTTAATTAGCTTATCACTACCCTGGTAACCCTTTATTATTATTATTTTATTTTTATTTACTTTAAAATATTTATATTCCTCCCCTATTACATAATTCTTAAACCACATTATTATTTACGCATTTCCACCACCTGATCCTCCTAAATTATCTTAACTTTTCATATTCTATTTAATTATTATTACGTAACCTATCTTATGATTATTCAATTGCATTATTACACCACCCAACCCGAATTAATTCCTTTTGATCTCTGACCTGTTCTAGCATATATATATATAGTTATTATTGTAACCCAATTATTTACACTCATCTATGTCATTTGTTTTCACTCTATCTCAATGTAAAAATTCTATCACATTTTTTGGTTTTTAAGCAGCTGACGAGAAACCTCGAAACAATATGAATTCATACTATTCTGCATCAATATTTGTTCTTGCTTTATTTATTCGAAATTATCAAATCAAAGCTCGGTAATGACACCTATTTACCCATTGTTGTTTAGAAGTTGGGACAGGGAAACTGATTTTAGGTGTTTATACGACAATAATAATTTTATTTAGTCTTTAATAAACGTATCTTATATCATTTACGTGAATCTTCCTAAAAAAGTAAGTATTTAAATCTGACAATTTCCGTGATTCTAAATTCTGATTGTCACTTATTATTGTTTAAACTGTTCTAAATTTGATGGGTAATTTGTGTTGGAACTAAAATCCACAAGTTACCTGCTATTGTATATTGTTATTCACAATCCATCACTTTGTGTATCTCTGTTAAGAGATGGTCACGGACCATATATTATTGGTTTCATAATATTTCTTTATTATCACGACTGACCTTGTTTTAAACTCTTGATGTGATCAAAATGCATGGATTCTTTTTTAAAGTTACATTAGACATTGTTAATGTAACACTTTATCTTGTGAATTTGCACTTATCTTTTTATCTTATTCATAAATATGTGCGTCTTTCCGTTGTTGATATTATAAGCACATCCAGCTGACAAGTCACTCATCTAGCATAAATTGCACTCTATGGATTCCACCGTTATCCACTACCCAACTATACTCAAACCCTGTTATCTGTTAATTTTGACAATGAAACTTCCTTTCACTTGTCTAAGTTTCAGAAAGAAAATAAACAAAAAGGCAAATATTTGCGTAGGCTTAGTGCGTTCAACTTTTATCTTCTAGACCACAAGTTCGAGTTCAATTCCGCTTATTTTGGTTTAAAAAGACGGGCAGTATCACTAGTCCTCATACATAATTTACTTGATTTAAAGCCAAGTACATGAATATGTGATTGTTAACTGAATTATACCAATCAGTTAATATTTATATATGTGATAACTCGTGTAGGTTGAACGCTATATACGAATCCTAAGCTATTCCCGTAACCCGCAGACTAGAACTACACAGCGACTTGAACTCCAGAAAGAAGACACAAGTATGAGAGAATACACTTTATCCCAAGGTTCATTTTAGTACAGAAAATCAAGGATATTTATAGATGTTGGCATCTGTTAAATCAACATCTTATTTCAGCCAATCCGTTAACGTCATATTGTGCTACCGACCAATGGTAGCACGCCACGCTGGAATTCTCGAACGTTCCATCATACTCTGATTGGCTAGGCTCTTCGGCTCTTTTTTGGGCCTCTGGAGGCTCCGTTGAAGTTCTCCGAAAGCCGACCCAACAATATGTTTCTGTTGTCAACACTAATCAAGGTGGCATATTTTACACTTCTTATTTTACATGTGTTAAAAACCAACACTTGGATATTCTACCTTATTTTATGTTACATATTATATAATAGTTATTAGTTTAAACAATGCGTTATCATCCAATTCATAAATCTCAAGACGACCGTTATGGTAAGCAGCCTATTTCTCTAGTGTTCTATCGTTGTTATTACTGTTATCTCGCTCAACTTGATACTCTTTGTTGCTGTGTCCTAACTTAATCTAAACCTTTCGCTTATATCTTTTTAATGCTGTATGGATATTATATAAAATCTACCAGTTTGAGTTCCCGTTTTGCAAAAAATCTCTGGATATTCTCTAAATAACTGATTTTTATGTACAAGTACGTTTTAATCACGTTTACTTACCTGGAGAGAACTAATTAATGTAACATCAAATTTCAATTGCCAGCCATCTTCTAACATAGTTTATTATTTTAGTCTTATTTTCCTTTTACTCACTATCACTTTTCCGCTTTGCTCTTTTTATGCTGAAATAACCCTAGTTTGCCTATTTTAGCATATAACACTGACTTCTATCAGGATTGATTAGTTTCTGATTGAGTCCCTTCAACAATTTATAGTTTGAAACTAATCTTGTAGGCAAATTTGAGCTTATTCACCGTTTCTATCTGTAAGTTGCAATGTACTGGATTTTCTCTTTGTTACTAACTCAGTTCACTGGTTTCTTCTCAGTCATATTTAGTTAATGTTTCTTGTCATGTTTTCCGATTCAATTGCTTGTACTGAAAATGTCTGCTTAAAAGAGTCCTCATTATCATTCTTATCGTCATTATTGGTTGTTGTTCCTGGTTAAATATTGTTCGATAGCTGAAATTAGTCATTGTTAAATCCTTTCAAAAAGCCTTATACAGTTTGTAGTTATTTATAAATTTATGAGTGATAGATTGTTGAGGTTAAGTCCTCAAAACCAGACAACATTGGAAGACTTCCATGAACAATGTCAGCTGCTGATTTTGCTTGTTTGGAATTTCTTAAAACCTAACACATTAATTCTTGATCTATATGCAGTTGTAGTGGTTGTCAATGTGCATCAAAAGAATCTTAAACTCGAACTTATAAAAAGTTCACCTAATCGTTGTGAGCAATGGTTGGTATTCAAAGCCAAAAAATTGGGAAAGTCGGCGGTGATAGGCACCAGTAGACAACTTTTTAAATTTATCAAAGAACCAGGTAATGGAAATTTGGTAGTTAGTGTGACTTTTTGAAAAAGATGAGACAGTGATTCATCCTTGTTATGTCATACAGACTTGCTAATATATCACGTGATAAGATCGCCAATTAGAACACCGACTTATACGACCTTGGAACTGTGCCAAACCAATGGTGCGTTAACCGGTGCGACTAGCTTATAGTCAACTCAGAGTCCTTATTAGTTCTTTTTGCCTAGCCCAGTCTGTTCGAGTCTGGAACGCAATCTCAGCTCCCATTGTATGAATCATATACTTCAAACATATTTGGTTTATGTACAATCAAATCAAACCGAATCATACCATAAAATAAAAAAAACAATTATGCAAGATCAAGCCAAAAGTGTCTGTGAGTGTGCGAGACTGTAGCTAATAAGTTGGGAGTAACCCTAAGAATAGAAAATCGTACATTAGTAGTCAATAGATCAAATAAAAGCTTATGACAAAAAGAAAATATATATATATATATATATATATATATATATATATATATATAAATTATCAGTTGAATGTTCGGACACTTTTTTATTTGCTCATATGATACAGTCATAAGTCTTACAATAAATGTTAGACCGTATTCCATTTTGAATCCTTAAATTTGGTTTCATAAAGTTATTATATTGAGTAAATGGCATATAATCGTTTGACAAACTCATTTTCTCTTATTCTCCTTTTTTGATTAGAATAAAATCTGTAACATAAAATGCAATTTTTAGCACTAACTGTCCTTTATTACATTCCATTAATTTGTTGTTGTTCTTTTAATTCAAGTGATTTTGATTATATTACTTAAATATTTTGGAAATTCTAATGGTTTATAGGTTTAATTATTCACAGATTGGTCTTAGTTAGAGTACCCTTGAAGACTACAAATTATTGGACAACCATTTTTTTTCCAGTATATAACTTTTAAACAGTGCGAACCATTGACTCCTTTAGAGATCAAACTCAGGGCCTTCAGGTATTACGGTATACGCTTGAGCTGAGCATTAGAATCAATAGTTCAACGTCCAATGATATTCTTCTAACCTGGACCAGCTAGTAGAATATATATATTAGTATTGAGTTATGATGGAGTACTTATTTAAAAGAAATATTTCTTCTCACAACTTTTTTAAAAATAAAATACTCACTTAACGTTTATGGAATATTGAAAGAGTTGCTTGCTGAAGTTGAATTCACTAACAAGCACAATGAGTAACACAACACTTCTTGTTGTAATGCATAACGTGAAGCTTATGAAATTAGATTTGATAATAATAACCTGTTTCTTACCAAAAAATAAACGTATTTTAATTAGTCTCTTGATTTATTTGGGAAATTCAAAGATTTATCGCACAAAATTGCGCTACTTTCTTAATCTAACCATAGAAATCGTAACATTGACCAATACATATACTATGAAATATTTAATAACGTTAATTATGTTTACGTATATAAAGTTGCATTTCAATCGATTCCAATTCAGGATTAATTGATGGCGGTTGATTTCAGTTGATTAGATTAATTCACTGTGAATGTTCAGTCAATTCTATCTGAATTTTATTCTAATCAGCTGTTCAACGTAAGTTCTCAACCAATCACTTTAATTAATATAGCGTTATAATTCAAAATGAATATATATTCAGCTTGTTAACGGATATGAAAAAACCCACCTTTAGTTTGTGTTTAAATCATCATGATTAAAAGTAAGAAAATACAGTATGGTTATATCCTAGCCTTGTATCTTAATAATGTAATTGTTCTCAACACATTTGTTGTACTTTATTAACTACTACTCTTAGATTTTGTTTTTCTGTACTGTTAACAACTAGGTATTCATTTGACAAAATAAGTCTTATTCACGGTGGTGCATACTGAGAAAAAGTATATTTCATATTCCAATAGGTTGCACTACAGACTAAATTTCATGAATGAAATCTATTTGTTTATCTTTAAAGTACTTCGCTACTTATTGTCTATGTGTGGTGATGATGATGTTGATGATAATAATTTTTAAAGAATTGAATGAATCTAAATGCCTAAACTAAATCAATAAACAAACAATTAAAATCGCGGACTAACAGATGGTTACTTCATTATCGGTTGGTATTTGTTATTGGTGCTTGAGGGTGGTCTCCAATCAAAATCAACTGGTTTCAAGTACTGGAATAGGTGTTCAAGCTGTTGATACTGTCGACTTTTTTCATTGTAAGCTTAGCTCAATGGACAGCTGTTCGAAGTTGACAATATGCTAACCTTATGGAAATGATAGTTTTAATCTTGTGTTATGGCCCATTTATTTTTCAGATCTTACCTTCACACCGAATATCTTTCGAGTTATAATTATGCTATTTTTAAATCTAAGTTTTATAATACTTCCTGTTTGTATAAGACACGGTTATGTGTGGGAAACGTACTCACAACTGTTACCCCTCGTAAAGGAGCATAGACTGCTCATTAGCATTCTCCGTGCAACTCTGTCCTGAGCAATCCTTTCCAGTTGTTATCCATCATTTTCATATCTGCTTCAAATTCCCCGTATAGTGTGTTCTTTGGTCTTTTTGTTTTCAGTTTCGGTTCAGAATTCCAAGTTAGTCCTTGTCTCGTGATGCAGTTTGATGATTTGCCTAATGTGTGTCCTATCCATTTCCATCGTCATTTCTTAATTTTCTCCTCAGCTGGAAACTGGCTTGTTCTCTCTCACTGTAGGTTGCTGCTGATGGTATCCGACCAACGGACATTGAGTATCTTATGTTGTAGACAATTGTTTATAAATACTTGTACCTTTTTGTTGATGGTTGTAGTAGTTCTTTACGTTTGAGCTCCGTACGGTAGAACTGTCTTGATGTTCGTGTTGAGAATTCTGACTTTGATATTGGTTGAGAGTTGTTTTGAGTTTCATATGTTCTTCAATTGTATGAATGCTGTCCTTACTTTGGTAATCCTCTCCTTTACGTCTGCATCCGAACCTCCTTGTTCATCGATGATGCTTCCCAGGTATGTGAAGGATTCTACATCTTCCAGAGTTTCGCCATCAAGAGTGATTGGATTGCTGTTCTCCGTGTTGTATTTGAGGACCTTGGTTTCCCCCTTGTGTATGTGGAGGTCTACTGATGCAGAAACTGCTGCTACACTGGCTGTATTTATCTGTAGGATGCTAGGGTTTCTCCATCATGTGTGATTTTGTTGTTGCTGTGCGTGTTGTATTTGACGATGTTGCTCTTTCACTTGAGTATCTTGAGACCTACTGATGCAGTGGCTGCTGCTGCATTGGTTGTCTTCATCTGCATTTGTTCGTGTGTATGGGATAGGTGGTGGGCTAGATTATCTGCGAATTCCAAACCTTCTAATGATTCCGATCCGTCCATTGTATTCTGTGCTTCACTTGAGATGTTGAGGTGTCCATAATCCAATCGACCACCGTTTACATAATTGAATAAACAAATGTTTAAATTTAATTCTTAATGGTTTACACAGATTTATCGATTAAATTATATAGAACGAAATAAATGCACCTTACAGTGGAATGCAGGACGTGTATTTCGTCCCATTTGGGACTCGTCAGCTGAATGTATAAGCATCCCAGAGTTGATGTCCACTTTGGGATTTGAACTCAGCAGCGTTTGCTTAAAATGCTATTGTGTTATCTGCTTGGCTACTGAGTCCAGCAAATGGTATTGGGTTTACGTCCCGGATTGAGCATGAACTCGTCCTAGATTCTATTGCTAGACGCATTCTATCCGTTCTATATTAAATTGTATCACATTGGCTATGTCAAAGCAATTCACACAGGTTGCTCATATCCGAACCAAAACTAATCAAAATTCATTTAAAATATCAACAATGCTGTAATCCAAGACACTTCGAATTGAATTATCAGTTAGATAGTCTTGTTAATTTAATAATGCCTTAAATTTCCTTTCTCAAACGATAACAATAATAATACTAACAATTATAGTGGTAAGAAAATTTGCCGGAATAATCAACTTAATAATTTTTATTTTACTTGTGATGAATAAAAACGTGTTTGTAAAGATCTTGAAATAAATAAATAAATAAATATTAACATAATTGAACATTGTACATCTCATGGTATATTTTAAAGAAAAACAAGAGAAACTAGTGCCATATTTAGATAAACAGTTACTATTTTTAACGCAAATATGTAGTTCTATTTATGAGATTATATAGAAGTGACATAAAATTACCGTGGAAAAATCAAAAGTAAATGACTAGTACCAGAAGGGGTTTTGTGGATATTATAGTAGTTTTCAACATTGATATTAACACTGTTGGATGTCGGCTCAGTGGTTTAGAGGTTAGGCGTTCGCGCACGAGACCGATATGTCCTGGGTTCGAATCTCACGGGGCGGGATCGTGGATGCGCGCTGCTGAGGACTTCCACAGTAGGCCGAAACGGCCGTCCATTGCTTCCAGGTTTTCCATGATGTTCTAGCTTCAGTTGACTGAAGAAATTTAAATTGTAAATGACTAATTAAAAATTAATAGTCGAAATAATTTAACTAGAACAAATATGTTGAAATAAATTCATGCAAGCGTTTGAGGTTTTGCATCGTTAATATTTAGGTGTTGATGTGATAAGCTTAGTTACTATTGGGATATGTGATTTCCGAACGGATTACCTGAATATTGTAATTTTCCATCAAGTTAATTTGTGGATAAAGTGGTATCCACAACATACATTTCGAAAAAAGTAAACCTTACCCATCTAACAAGTAAATGACACAAAATGCTCAGTGAAAAATGTGTCAACTTTTGAAAAGTACAGGGTCTGAGTCTCGATGTGAAGTTCAAAACTGGTATGCCAGTACATCCGATTGATGTGTCATGGCTAAGATAAAGTGCATATCCGAGACCCAAATTATAGTACCTATCCGACTTTTATAAAAAAAGTAATCCATATTTGTTCCCTAATTGATTGAATGCCTGAAGTTTTCTACATGTAAATGCGTGTACGCGTGTATTTTTTTCCTTTTTTGATTTTTAGGAAGTACACGCTCGTTCTATCCACTAAACATGTTTTCATCATCAGACGCGCTGAATCCATTTGCAGACCCTACTACTACATTGAATAATTCATCGCAACATAGTCAACAAATTACTAACAGTACTAATCAACATAGTAATAGTAATGTTACTGGACTAACTTCCTCGACATTAACTGAAAACGATCATGGTAATAAGTCGAAATTAATTGATGAAAAAGATGGTATATTGAATGATGAAATGTTCACGGCAAATTCAAATGTTAAGTTTGATGTTGGTGACAATTGTGGGTTGCCTTTCCATTCTCGATTTCCAAATATAACAAAAGGTGATTAATGTAATAATAATCATTAGTTCTTTCATGGATTATGATTGTTTTTATAAAATTATTGTCGTGTTTACTTTAATGAAAACACAAATTTGCATATCGTCAGTTAAGCTTTGAACGATAATTATTAAACTTAAATCACACAATTTCTCAAATGCTTTCATTTAGTATAAATGAAGTTGACATTTTTAATTCATTTAACAAATATGGATTTGTTTACTTGACTTCAAGAAATACTGCAAGTGTGAAGGTCAATGACATTACACAGTTGTTGAATCCAAATTTGGTTGAGGGTTGTTCGAATTTGGAAAATCTTAATCAGTGAGCCATCACTGCATTTAATACTACATAACAGTATGCAAAATAGTTTAGAGGTGACACTGATATTTTGACCAAAAATATGTGTAGTTTAAAATACCATGGAGTCATTACCCTTCACTGATTTGTACTGTTCATAATGGGAGTCATCTACGCTATACAATTCTTTCCTATTTATTTGATGCCATCTAGTCTCTGGTCTGAAAAAAAGTGTAAAGCACGCTATGAATTACATTTAATAAATATTAAGTGGTTTTGTAGTGTTATTTTGTATAAGTTAAAAATAACCAGCTTATATCTGCTAAACAGTTATTGAGACCCAGGAATCACAGGACATTTATTTCATTGTCATGTATAACTCAATAGCGTACGTCCTTGACTCCTTCAGAGATATTTTTATTTTATGTTACACTTTCATTGTGTCACAGCCTCAAAAAATCGAAATAAGCCTTATTCCTAAACATTCCTCCATAAATTCACCGGAGATTGTAAGTGTTCATCGTGTTTTCCATATCATAATGATTTGGATACTGTTCGCTCCTAAATGTCCTGGTAGAGTCGAGGTTAGGAAGAGTCATCTGTTCCTCTTGAAATGCCCTCACACGGCCACGCGTATACAGCCATTACCAAGGATATCCTACTCACTACCTTTTTATGGCATTACTGTTGTTTACGAAATCGAGAGGACGAGAAGCGAATGCCCGATTCGTTAACCGGGTTGGTGGATACGGACGGTCTACCTAGGGGAGTTGGATAACCCTGATTCAAAACAAATAGTGCACATGGGCTCCTGAGGGAAAAATGGGGTATGAACCTATTGTTGGTGACCGGCCATCATGGGACTGTATCTTCTAATGCTGCTCCAATGCCTTGTGGATTAGACCTTTAGGTCAAAAGCTCTGTGTGTGGCCCCCTAAGAAAACCATCTGCACCAGTTTGGGTGCCCGAACAGTATCTCAGCCGTCACACAAACCGGCTTCATTGTTGTTGTGTGGCTCATATATTTTTGGTTCCCCCTTGTACCAATGTTTATGTGTTGAAATAAATGATAACTACTACTGGATTCTGTTCATTAAAAATAATGTTAGTCGAGTCTCTCTAGACATATATTCATTCTTTATTTATCATTATTGTTTGGATTGTTAAGTGTGATAATGATGATTTGTGATTATGAATTATTATCCAACTGGCTCAACAAAGTTTTATTTTAAATGATGGATTAGCCGAGTTGCAGTTGTGGTTTAATGAAGCTGTGAACATATTCATTACAATGATTCTTAGTTATTGTCTGTCTTGTTGTATCACCCATATAATTTGTGCAGTATAGACACAGTGATTTTTTTTAGTAGATTAAATAAACTGCTTTGTTTTTGTTATTAAAATGACGAATGGAACTAAGTTGTATAAAGATTGAAAATTTTGGAGCATTAGGTAATTGTTTCTTCGTAGTATGAGACTTTTTCGTGATGGTGGGTTGAATGATACACAGTGACGAAGAGTCCTGTACCATGACAAAACAGTTGTCCAGTGCTTCCAGGTTTTCTTTGGTTTTCTGAGCCAGGTTTCTTATCTCAATAAAATCTGACTTGTATTTCTAACAACTTTCTGGGTTTGTGCTGTTCGCTTATATTAAAAGGTCTATTCAGTGTAGTTGTAATGAATGGTTGTTTTTCTGTTATTATGTCTTCGGTTTTCTAGACAAGCGTTTCAGTTTTGTGTGCCACTGAGTGAGTTTTACGAAGTTCCTATCATGTTTGTGTGAACGGAGGATTTCAGACTGTACAATACTGTGTATAGTCATCCATCATTCTTAATTTTCTCGTTCTTATGTTTAGTTCTCATCACTTTAAATGTAGATGTCAAGCTCAAGATCGCTTGGTTGGTATAGTGTCCTCGTCTTAGTTTTTCTATTTGTTGAACTCAATTTGTTTGTATTTAATCAAAACTGTTGATTGACTCTTTTTATCCATGATCATGATAATGAAATAAATTATTGCAATTTATTCAAGTATTTTCTGTTGTTGTTATTCATTATTCAGGTCGTAATGGTGAATTCTTATCATATCAAAATATTAATTCAATCAATAGTCATTCTACTGGAGCAATATCGAAAGTTGAACATTATGAAGATTTCGAAACTATCGACTGGGTCAAAGATGTTTCACGTGATCGATGTCGTCATCGAGAACTTCATTTGAATAGGGTTAGTTTGAGTTTTCCTTTATATCTTTCTTTACTTCCGATATTTTTTCGTGTTTTCATCGTCAATCTTACCAATGTATAATTTATTTTAGTCTTAAAATGACGGAGAGCATTTAAAACTTAAGTGGATGCTTTTGGTTTTGTCAACTTCTCTGGGATAGATGGTTTCATTGCGGAACCTCAATTGAAATTCTGGAGAATATCAGTGTTTGCTTCATATAGAAAAAGTGACCTTAATCGTCTATAAGCGTAAAATTGGTTTGTTCTAGTGAAGTTACCTGTGATTGACTGCCTTCATAAGTTTTATTGTATTCATTTTTCGTTGGGTTTCTTGTTCTGTTTGCCTCTGAACATTTTTATTGGCTTTCTTTCCTATAGGTTGATGGATTGCATCCACCTCGATATGTTCGTTGATTCCCGATTTACTTAGGCGATATGCTTCGGGATCTTCATTAACTTGTTTACAAAAATTCTTGATTCTCTATCAAATGATAAACATTGTTTTTTGTATGATCTGTAGAGCAGTGATATAGAATGTGACTCATGAGTTAATACTCCGTTATCTGACGTCTTGTGTTCTTTGAGCAGATTGCCTCAAAATCTTTAAGTCATTTGGTCAATATTGGGTTCTATACACTTGGTTATGTTTTTAAGTATCTCCAAACCGTTGACAGTGTATTTCCAGATTTATAAAATTTCCAAGATAAAATTGGCCAAGGAAACTATGGTTTTAAAAAAAATGTCTATTTATTCAAACAGTCATTTTCTTACCTGTTCCCTATTAGTGTCCACATTACTAGTGCTTTTGTTGGCTGTCTAAACAAAGTCAGTCCATGGTGTAGAACTACCAATACAACATAATTCGCGACTCCTTATTCTAGCAAATTCAAAAACGAATAAGTAGGATCGAATTGTAAATTACTAGAGATTGTTTAGATTAGTATAACTTGGTGTAAACCTTCTGAATGAGGTTCGCAAAAAGATAAAAAATATAATTAAAGGAATGTATAATCTGTTTGGGATATTTTGTGAATTCTCACAGACACACTATGTCATACTTTTCCTCCGAGTCGGTCGGTTTGTCTGTTTCGTAAATTTATCTCTATCGTTTCTTTTCACTATTATTTCACGTTATGACAAACTGAACCTATCAATCATTATTTCTGATTATGTAGGTTTGTAATAGGAATACTTTATTTTATCCTAAATCATTATCTATCACAGTGAATAAATCGGTAACGTTTTATTCTATTCAAATCCTATAATCTACCATTTTGTTTGTTTGGTATACATTATTTTAAAAGATTTGAAAATTGCTTGTTCTAGAAGAATTTTAGCAATCTTCGAATGTTGACAGATAAAGAGAAAATTTCACGTTACATTTGGAGTGCATGTGTTTGACTTTGTTAAGTTCAGTAGACAAAATATCTATTTCATCTTACAATATGTTATTCTATTAAATCTAAACCATTATAGTTATTATCTCTTATTAGATGCTGAAATTTAAACAAAAGAATATTTATGCATCTAATTTGTCTGATATCATACACTATACATAAATTTATTCGTTTCATTGTCAGCTATCTTGTCACTTATATCATTTTTAGTATATATTCGAAATACATCTTATTTTAATTATTTTCCAGCTTTCAGTTTTGATAAATTTTATTTTGTAAATGCAATAAGTTAACCAAAATTCACATTATTGCACAGTTTTTCATGTCATTCATCTTGCTAATTGATTTCAATCCTATATTTCTTGTATCCAGTACTTGGTATTCGGCTCCATACCATTCGATTTGTAAGAAGATCAGTGATACTATCCAGTGGTATTTGGAGTGCTATATGTTAAGTGGAGTTTGAGTAAATCATTGAATGGTCGAAAATGAAACCCTTTAATCACCAAGTCAGAGTTTATTGTTGCATATGATTGTGAATTCAATAACTGACTTGCCAAACTGCGTTATTTAAAACTTATTACATTTTCAATATTTCCTTCGTGTTATTGTTTTTCGACTATTTTTTACATGATCAATTTAGAACCCAGTCATTCATAATATAGAAAGTCTTTAAACGTATTCTTAAGTGATATCGTTATGGTTTGCTACTAGTATATAGATAATTGGAAACCTATTTTACCTATTTCATTTTGAGTAATATCACCAGCTCTCAATCAAATAGTGAAGTTTGGAGCTGTGTTCATAAGCCTTCTTCTAGTGAATAAGTTACATTTCGGTTATTTGTAAGTATTTTGTCTTTTCTAAGCATTGTTAATGTCATGAATGTTTGCCACTTATGAAATACCTTTAATGTTTCTGCGTAGAAAACATTTCTTTTTATGACCATGTCGTCTTTCTTCCTTTTATTAGGGTAAGCAAATTTAATTCCTTATTATTTAAACTGGTTCTATGCTTCCTCTCTATGTGTTTTCATTGTCAATTTTACAATTTCTAGAAAACATGCTGTGGTTCAATTAAAGCCTGTTGGGATTCTGCTTCTGGATGGTTTTGTGTATTATGTGTCGGTTTGTTAACAGGTTTCATTGCTTGCATCATTGATATTGGTTGTACTTGGATGTCTGATTTAAAAGAAGGTGTTTGTCTAGATGCATTTTGGTTCAACCGTGAACAGTGTTGTTGGTCATCAAGTCAAGCGGATGATGTCTGTGATCAAGTAAGTATGTTCGTTATATTTCTTTTTTCTTCAGTAAAGTGCTAGTTACAAGTTTTTTGTTGTTGATTTTCTTCAAAACATCAGATCATTAAGGCCAGCCAGATTGTATCAATAGCCCATAGCCAAGTACATAAATTTGTACTTGTTAAATTATTAATTATTTCTATTTATTATTAGCTAACTGAAATACTGAATTTCATTTCTGTTGTTTACACCCCTGAGATTATGCAATTTTATTTACAAATTTAGTTAAAAAACAGTATATTAATATGTTGGGGAGATCCATAAAACTCCTTGAAAAAAGTCAAGAAAGGCTCTGAAAACACTGCGAAGCATCTTATTCAATCAGCGTCCACCAGAAGTTCTGCCAGAAACATGAAGAAAGTGTAAAGTCACATGTCGAGTTTCTGATTGGGTGATTACTTATACTGCTACTATGTTTAGTAACGTTCCAGAATTTTCGTGAAACCCAAGGACATCTAAAATATTATAAAAACCCTAGGTTTTTTGTATATGAACAGATCTTCGGAGTCAAGTGTTTCTTACGTACTTCGCGCCTTTCCCGTCGTGTTCAAGTCACTGTGTTGATCTAGCCTGGGGATTACTGGAAGAGTTTAGGAACAAATCTAGCGTTCAATTAGAAAAACTTATATTGGTAGTTGGTTCATAGAAGTGAAGCAATAGGTTCAGTTTGAAAAAAGATTCGGATACACTAATATTATCCAATGTGGAGTCTTTGTAATTGTTTTTGTTCTCTTTCTTCACTCCTTTCAATTTTAGTGGTATTCATGGTCTCGTCTTTTTATGAACAAAGATCCAACTGGTGAATATCCAGATGCTTACTTTGTTGGTTACATATTCTACATTATTTATGCTGTATTATTTGCTCTAGTTTGTGTATTTCTCGTTCGTATGTTCGCTCCTTACGCTTGTGGTAAGCCATTTTTTACATTTAACTGCCTGTGCTTAAAATGTAGTTTACAAAAGGTCGTTTTTTTTAAATTCCATTATTCATGGTCACTAAACAGTAATATTGGCTTAGAAATTGTCAGTGTACATCCTGGCCTATCTGTTTCGATTTAGGTAGCTAAGTAGTATCACATTAGATTTGAGAGCTAATGTGAGACTATTCCATAAAATTTTACTTAGTAACTAATTAAATTCAGTAACAGTTGTTTTTAGAGTAGTAGTGGAATTCAGGACGCGCGTTCTTGATGTGCATGTGCATCTAAGTGTTTATGTTCAGACTGAGATTTGAACTCATTACCTATCTCTTTAGGAATCAGAATGTTGTCCACCATGTCATTATGAAACTGAACTAGTAAGTGTGTAGTTTTAATCTTACTTCTCTGAATGATAACTTTTGAGTACTTGTTGATTATCAATTATATTATCCACGTCAATGTTAATACTAGGTGTTTATTTAACAACAGTTCTAAAAAAATTATCGAGAATGGAAAGAAATCGAAGGTTGATTATTTAATTCAAGAATATCACTGCTAAGAGCTGGTGCTTTTACCTAGTTTCCTAATTTTCAATACATTGAACTGTGTTTGAATCTTTGAAGTGTTAACATAAGTAGTTTCAGAGGACTATTAGTTTGTCATAGGTTTGAAAACTATCGGTTTTTGTACTCTTTACTAGTCAAGTTATTCAGCCAAACCTACCTTATATGTGCACTTTATGAGCTTTCTTTTAAGCCCCTTATCAGTCGACTAATTCATTACATAAAACTATATTTCACCAGTGCACCAAACTGAACTTAAACCTTTCGGCTTCCTGTGTAATTGTAGTTTCGATGGCAGTCAGAAGTCCCTTTCAAAAGAATCCTTATTAATCTCTTTTAGTCGGTCAACCGGCAAATTATTTCATTAAAATTCCCGCAGCCGTCTGATCCAGTTTTTCAGTTCAGGAGTTAGTAGACAGATCAACTGCCTCATCATGACATTCTACTAACGAACCACCTAAGAAGATAGCTAGAATGATTTGAAGGTCATTTTTATTAAGCTCAATTTAGTTTAAATACCAGTTAGTAAGTAGGATTACCTACTCTAGTGATTTCAAAATGTGTAAATCCTTAAAAAACAGTGGAGATAATTTGTAGCTCAGTTGGACACTTTTAAGACATGGTGTATTCTCTGTGCTGAGCAGTTTAATTGCATTAATTATCTCTTTAAAGTTTGACTGCTACATTTCGAAAGATAACTTACTCTTGAAATGTACATTCATAGTACATTGATAATATCATAAGACTGGATGAAAGCAAATGATTTGTAAATCTTTTTTCAAATTTCTTGGGATCATTCGCTGCGTTAGATCTTGGTTTTTTAAATAATTTTCTTACTTGTATCGTTTTTAAATGACTAAGATGTTCAATGTTGTACTGATACTTTTTAATGTGTTCGGAACTCGAGTGACTGATATCATTAGACTAGTTAATGTCTTATATATGTATAGATACTACTTTACAATCACTTTGATACTGCACATTTCGATGTTCTAAAACTGTACAGTGTGTTGTACCATATTCTGTTCGTATTTAGACCTAATTTTGTTCGGGTGATTAATAAAAACAGTAATTAGTAACTAACATGTATTGATTCATTGACTTGATTAAATGTAGTCAGCATCGAATGATAATCATTTGAATCTCTGTTGTTTAGATTGACCTCGTTCAGGATGCAAGAAATCTACTCTGAATATTTTCTAAACGTATTGATCACTATACAAGCAAATTCTACATTAAGTAACACTTCTTCTTTGGTTCGTTTGTCTTCCGCCCTAATAACTTATTTGATCCATGTGATGAACGTTATAAATCTATTACATTCTATATACTTTGAACACATACATATTATAAAGGAAATTGAGAAATAAATTGACCAGACTTCTAGCATTGTGTTTGGACAGAATAAAAATGTAACTCACTAATTGAGTTATATTTTCATAGTTGAATTCACAAGCTGATTTAAGTTAGAACATCGTTGAAAACCTGAAAGCATTAGACAATGGGTGAAGAGTTGCGCAAAATCATGGATCGATTGAAGTTTGATATTAACACCGTTGAATGTCGGCTCAGTAACCTGGAGGTTAAATGTTCATGTGTGAAACCGAAGTTTCTGTGTTCGAGTCCCGCGTGCGGGGTCGTGGATGCGCACCGCTGTGGATTCTCATACGGCCTTCCAGTTCTTCCAGGTTTTTAGTAGTGATCTAGCTTACATCGACTCGTGAATCCAAACTATGAAAATACTACAATCTCCACAAATCCCCACACTGAATTATATTTATTAATTAAAGCAGTTAATGTCAATGATTGCTAGCTTGTTATATCCAAATTTAACTATTGACCGAATAGTTAAAAATAACATACTTGTTATTGTAATTTTTCATGTCGTTTTGGTCAGTTATGATTTAGTGGTTTAAGTGTATAATAAATCTTTCATTTTAAGTCTTACTTTCCTTGTTTTCGTTGGTGATTATGAGTCTTTGTTCAATTGCAATAAGTAGCAAGTAGCAATTTCCCTTTATTCATAAAACGGTAACAGCATCGTTCTAATGTGAAGGGATTATACACTGGATATTAGATTAATAGATCACTAGACTGGGCGCTAGATCATGTTATCTGATCACATGATACAGATCACTCAATCATCCTACTGACGATCAAGAACCAGATTACATCAGAACTAAAGTTTTTTTAACATACAGTTCAAAGTTGTCAGTAAGTGGAACTAAAATAGAGTACAAGCTCAATGCTGCATAATAATACTGAATTTCTTCCTATATTTAGTATGGCTCAATATATTTGTCTGGTCTTATTCACTAATCACGCCTTAGTCTCACCGTATACATCAAAATAGTGTCGTAAAATTAGTCAATCATTTACTAATTTAAACAATTATTCAATGTGTACATGTTAATTCTAGAATTTTCAAATGAGAGCAATAGTTATTTTTTCGAATTATTTAAGCTACTTTATATCGTGCTAATAAATCTTATGCATTCTCTTTTTCATTGTTTACATCGATTGCGTTGTTGTTGTTGTTTTGTCATATTAAAGAGTAATTTTGGAGTTGATTTTTAAGAATTTCATTAGTCGCTTAACTATTTTTATAGAATAAACAAATAAACTAAATTTCTTCAGAAAATATATTTACTACTTAAAACTCGTGTGTGATTTTACTAATTTTCATAGTAGTGACAGATTCATCATGATGTTTGTGTTTGTATTTTTATAGGTATTAGTTCAATGCAATTTTGTTTACATCGTTAACTCAATCTATAAGATTTCAGAGTTGAGTAAAAAAAAATAGATGCTTTTATTATTAGAGATACATATGGAACATCAGGTTTAAACGTAAAAGCAGTTGAAATATGTCTTCCATGTGTACTGTTGATAGATTATAACTCTCAACAATTGAATAGTATAGCAGTTGTCATACTAACATTACTTATTGATCTATCAAATGACAAGCTAAGAAGTTTTTTCTTAAACATAATACATCTTTCACATAAAGTTATTTCACACAAAAAAATAAACTGCCTGTTATAACCTGCTCATTGCTATATAATTTGAAAATATCATCATAATAGCATACAAGATTTATTCCAATAAAAGCATAACTGGCCTAACTGAACTCAACGGAATGACTCTTCAACACTTTACCCTCACTATTATTGACGCAACACTCAACTAGTAAGAAGACAACCTGGTTTGTTCTGAGAAGTATATATATTTACTAAATTATAATAACGTTTAGCACATTTCACATTAGTTAAGTGCTAAACTTGAAATAATACTGAAATAACTAATAACTGAAATAGTCAGAATATAATTGAATATTGCACTGAACGGCTATCAGCAATCAATAGTTTTACTCTTGTTTGCTTTCTTAACATCTTCCTTTGAAAGAGTTGTAAGATTTCTTTTTTTTAAAAAGTAAAATTATAATACCTTTGATTTTCTTTGTTTTCATGATGATTTTTTTCACAAATCCTGTCCCGGTTTCCCCAGATCACTAGCTTCAGGAGAATCATTTGTAGATGCGGTCTTTCTAAAAGACTAGATTACCTAGATATGTTAAATACTATTATTTGATTAAAAACTGTTACTGTTGTCTACTTGTAAGCATGCTTTTTCTTCGATATAAATCTCATAATTTTTATGGTGTGCATCTATTCAAGTCGCTTTTTATAGTTTGTGATTGTTTATGTAGAGTGTGGGAGATGGCCTCTATGGGAAGCTGCCTGTGTCGAATGAGTTTTCACGCTTGAAATTTACTTTACATTTAATTAATAGCGTTAAATTATACTGTAATCAGTCTCAATATTTTAAAAATACACATAACAGACCGTCGTTTGGATTTCCGCGATTTCCCTTTGTCGTTCTTCTACGAGGTAATGATCTATTCTGTTTGTGAATAGAACAAATATAATGAAATGTCGATATTCACGGAAAATACTATTCTTGCTTTTATTAACAGTCAAACGATTCACATTATTATTATTATTATTATCATTATTATTATTTACTACATCATTATTCACCCTCTTTTATTCCTACTCCGTCTATACTTATTTTTTCGACTTATACAGTAGCTCGTCTTTGGTGAAAATTCGACTCTATCTAAACGTTCTCGAGTCACTGTCCGGTTGAAAATCGTATGTTACCACCGAATATGAGTACTGAAGCAGTTTTTCTGAAACCACGTGCGCCATTCAAACTGGCTGCCTTCAACGTTCGCACACTTATGCAGGTCGGACAACAGATAGGGCTGGCTATGTCTTTGGAAAGTCTTAATATTGATGTTTGCTGTCTATCCGAGACCTGTATTCAAGACTCTGTTGAAGTACTACAAATTCGATCTCCATCTGTCGCTTCGAAAAGCTTGCTTTACGTGCGCTTGTCCGGGGACCCTGTGGCATCTTCGTCTGGTCTTGCTGGCGTTGGTGTCGCACTAAGCAATAGAGCTCAGGCAGAACTAATCGATTGGATCTTCATTAACAGTCGGTTATGTGCTGTTAAATTAGAGAGTTCCATCAAAGTGAGAAGAAATCGGCGTGAGAAACGATGTCTTTTCGTCATCTCCGCCTATGCTCCGACAGATTGCAGCCCGGATGCAATCAAGAATGAATTCTACCACCAGTTATCTGTTCTTCTCCAGAAAGTTCGTTCGACCGATATTGTAGTACTAGCCGGAGACTTGAATGCTCAGATCGGGCGTCTAGGCACAGAAGAGAGTTGTTTAGGTGGCCGATGGGACTTGTTGGTCGCAGGAAAGATAACGGGGACCGTATACTGCAACTGTGCACAGACCACAACCTGCTTTTGGCTAGCACTAACTTTTTGCACAGTCATCGCCGATGTGCCACTTGCCGTCCTCCCTATGCATCTCAAGCATGGACTCAGATTTATCACATCGTGATCAACTATCGCTGGTTTAGTTGTGTACAAGACTGCCGCTCCTTTTGGAGTACCTATCTGAACTCTGACCATGCCTTGGTCTGCCCCAATCTTGCCTTACTTTTCAGTGGACAACGAAGTGACCGCCACCAACGGATTGATGTTAGCAAGTTGGTTGCAACTTCTGTTGCGAGTAAGTATCGAATTGAGCTGGCTTCTAGGCTAGCTACCATCCCACCGAAAATTATAGATGAGCATTGGTTGGAGCTGCATGACGCCATGAAAATGGCGAGTAAAGCCGCTTGCGGCTTCGCGAAACGTCCCGCTTATAAGCACTGGGTTTCTTCAGGTTCCTTACAACTCATTGAAGCCCGTCGGTCTACTCCGGGTGACCGTGAGTTTGACCATAAACGAAGGATGTTACGTAATGAAATTGGGCAAAGCTTACGTAAGGACCGAGAAGCCTGGTGGTCGGAGCGTACTAATGAGCTGGAAGCAGCAGCTGCATCTGGTAACTACCGGAAGCTCTTCCAGCTCATCCGAGCCACTGACAGCAAGAAGTCTGGTGTGAGTGAAACAATCTGTGAGGATGACGGGATGCCAATCACTAACATCCATCGACGTCTTGGACGATGGGCAGAATTCTTCGAAGGGCAGTCCAACTGGCCTACTGCTCCGACAACATAGGTCAAATTGTCCCACCCTCCGTGGTCGATGACGACTGATCCACCAAATGAGGAGGAAGTCCGCAAGGAACTCCAACTCTTAAAGCGCTACAAATCACCTGGCCCAGATGACTTACTCCGGTCCTTTTTAAAGATGGTGATGACTTTCTAGTTAAGGAACAGACCGCGTTGTTTACAAAGATTAGGGAGCTAAAGAGTGTACCGACGTCATGAAATGAGTCGATAGTTGTCCCTATCTTTAAAAAGGATTCACGTCATTCCTGTAACAGCGATCGGGGGATAAGTCTACTTCCGATTGCGTCCAAGCTATTGGCTTCCGTCATACTTCGTAGGTTGTTGAAAACCCGAGAAAGATTGACTCGCGAGGAGCAGGCTGGTTTTCGTTCTGGTCGAGGATGTATTGACCATATCCTCACCCTTCGCCAAATGTTAGAACACCGCCATACTTATCAAAGGCCAACAATCGTAGTGTTTCTTGACATCAGGGCTGCCTTCGATTCGTTGGACAGGACTGTTCTCTGGGATTGTCTATTGAAGAAGGGTGTGCCTGAGAAGTTTATTAACATCCTAAAAGCCCTATATAAAAACACCTCAGACAGAGTGAGGGCATACAACCACCTTTCTCCATTGTTCCATTCGAGCAGTGGGGTTAGGCACGGTTGCCCAATCTCACCATTCCTCTTCAACTTTGCCATCGACGACATTCTGGAAACAGCTCTGATGGATGTAATTAGTGGTGGTGTGGATCTGTTGCCTGGAGAAAGACTTCTCGACCTTGAGTATGCGGATGATATTGTCTTACTGTGCGATAATGCCCAAGGCATGCAATCCGCACTCAATCAGTTGGTAATCAGTGTCCGTAGATATGGTATGTGCTTTGCACCTTCGAAGTGCAAAGTACTTCTACAAGACTGGCAGGATTCCAATCCTGTACTCACCCTGGATGGTGAGCAGATAGAAGTAGTCGAGATGTTCGTGTAACTTCGACTTCGGTGGCTTGGACATGTCCTACGAATGTCGTCCCAGAGAATTCCTTGTCGTGCATTATTCGTCGACGCTGGAATGAAGATTTTTATTTGGATAGATAAAAACAGATTGTTTTACAAGTGAATTTATAATGATCTAACTTATGTTACTGTCTAGTTTTTCCACATATTCTGGTCGCACCCAATGAAATATTTCATGGTAGTTATATATATATATATATATATATATATATATATATATATATATATATATATATATATATATTTATATATATATAATGAAGGACAGGAGAACTTTTCATCTAATGATGATAAATTCAGTTAGACCGAATATTCATGTTTTAAAAGCTTACATAATGGGGTAAACACATTTTACTGGAAAACGTTAAATGTTCCGCGGGATGTCATTCTGAATAGTGAAAATGAAGCGTATTTGGTACTGGTCTCCCAGATTACAGATCGTTTTCGTTCATTTCGTTGTAAAATTGAATACTTGAGGAACGTATGCTCTTTGTGGTATTAAAATGATTAAAAAACCTACGTTTTCAAATAGTACTGTGATATGTATCTTCAATCTGTAATGTTATCTGAAATATTCTTCAAAGTTACAAGAAAACATAATTTAAAGATGTTGATAAACAATATTTGAATGTATTTGTGCTGTATACAGAGACTGAGTTACGTCACTAATGGTGTCCGGTCATTGATTTGGGTTTCCAATCTTCACTATATGTATGTCCTAGATTATCTAGACCAACCATTTAGTTAATGTGTTGTTCTTTATATTGAGAAAATCTGCTTTTTAACATCTTTTTTTTCCATATTTGATTTTAGGTAGCGGTATTCCTGAAATCAAGACTATTCTAGGTGGATTCATTATACGTGGTTACTTAGGGAAATGGACTCTTCTGATAAAATCGATTGGTATGATTCTTGGAGTAAGTGCTGGTTTAAATCTTGGTAAAGAAGGACCCATGGTTCATATGGCTGCCTGTGTTGGAAATATATTCGCACATTTCTTTCCTAAATATGGTCAAAATGAAGCTAAAAAACGGGAGGCAAGTTTTCTAAGATAATAGCTGTTGTGAAATAATATTTTACGAACTTGTGGTCTATGTAAGACAGTTGTCAGCAATCGATATAAGCTATAATCTAGGATTTAAGATTTTCAGCACTCACCGCTAACTTACTATCACTTAAACTCACCTCTACTTCAGTAGCTTGGAGATGTCTTCCTAATGTCGTCCCGAAGAATTTAACATCGTGCATTATTTTCCGACGCTGGGACTGGTTGGGAAAACGGAGAGGTGGTCAGTGTATGACATGGTGTCATGGTATGAAAGAAAGCTGTATGGGACTTGCTTTTGTTGCTACATCACAACTCCCCGATTGTGGTTCTAAAGACGGTGTGCACTTGAAAATAGACAAACTCAATTTTTTAATAATTAATCAAAAATCAGAAAAAGGTCATACGCTAATATGAATAAGCAAAACCATTTTTACGGTCATCATTATGATAAAGCAATTTACACTTATTAACAAGGATTAGATAACTCGAGACTATCTAATCAGTTATTACAACCAATCTTTGTATGATTTTTGGCATTAATTCAGTTCAAAAAGTCAATAATATCTCACAAAACACAATGTAGAGTGTAATGACAAAGAAAATAAACTTGGATACGTTTTCAAAGAAACAACCACAATACTATATCATACAACGTAGCTGCCCTCTTCGCTTACGTGAACAACCATTAGATATTCGATCTGATGACGTTTATTAGCTTATGTCTGTATGTAATTGATTGTACGCTCTGAAATCAACAGGGGTGTCATAAGTCCAATTTTCAAACTAACGGGATGTAATATACTTGACAACAATATCATAGGCCGTCTCAGTTTAATCTACTCTAAGTTTTTGTTTAAATACTAAGATCATAGTTGTTATCAGCGACCATTCTTGTCATGTATCATTGGACAAATAGTTTCGTTTCTACGACAAAATTCTAATAACTCACTTTTTCAAAATGATTTTGCTGATATTATGTTTTGAAAGGGCGAAGAAGGCATCATCAGTAAATTGCCTACCACAAAGAAATTTTAACCAAAATCTTTTTCTTGGGTTTGCTAAGCCACTATCGAATTAATTATAGGCTAATGAGATAAAATCTATTGGTTGATATACGCAAGATGCTCTTCAGAGATGTCTGTTCCTCCAGGACTGACCTGCATCAACACCTCAACTAACGACAGAGAGTTAAGTAGTCGAACGCGTTGACAACTTCACTTATCTTGGAAGTCTGATCAGCTCTAATGGGTTGGTGTCTGAGGTAGTCTTATCGCGGGTTCAGAAGGCTCGTTTGGCTTCTGCTAACTTACGTCACCTATGACGAAGGCACGATATCCGTCTATCAATTAAGGGACGAGTATACTGCACGGCAGTTCGTTCTGTTCTACTTTACGGCTGCGAAACATGGCCTTTAAGAGTAGAAGATACTCGTAAGTTACTAGTATTTGGCCACAGATGTCTAAGAAATATTGCTGGCCTCTGCTAGGATCACTGGGTAAGTAATGGTGAGGTTCGACTCAGGGTATTAGGGAATGATGGTAAATCAGTTGATGAGGTTGTGAATGTTCATGTACTGAGATGGTTGGGCCACGTGTTACGTATGCCTGAACGCCGATTACGACGATGTGCAATGCTGACTAGTGTTGGGAATGATTGGAAGAAAGTTAGGGTTGGCCAGACCAAAACGTGGCATCGGTGCTTGAAGTCACTAACTTCTATTCTTAGCCATGTTGGTAGGCGCAGACTACTTGGTTGGGGTCAGCATGATTATCGAAACAAATAGTTAGAGATCATGGGTGACATAGCTCAGACTAGATCACAATGGTTTAGGTTTATACACTCTTTGTCTTCCCTTAAACTATAAGATCACTTCATATCTTTCTTCCTATGAACTGATTCTTTCTTCCTGTATTATATCTTTATATGCAGTATTTTTATATATTACCACCATTGAATTAACTGCTTCTATGAAAATGGTGTTCGTCTTGCTGTGCTAATGAGGTATGGCGTATATGTGCCTGGTCCTACGTTGTAGCTAACTGACTGATTGACTGAATTTAATTTACTCTAAGCGTCACATCGAAGTGAAAATTGATTGATCTGATGAAATCTTTGAATTTTTTTTGAAAAATTTTGTTGTTTTGAAGATAGTTTGAACCGCTATAAATTTCTTACCAAAGGTTTTTTAAGTCTCAACTTTGATCTTTTAGTGTAGACTGCAAAAAAAGTCAATCAGTCATAATCAACGCAGAATCGGCCACAAATGTTCCCTGACCTTAATTGCCCATATCACATTAGCACAACGGGATAAAATTAGCCAAATGTATAGTGAAGGTATCGAATTAATATGATAGACAGAAATAAAAGATATTTGTCAAGAAATACTGGAACTTAAGATCTCAAGGAGGATAAGGATTGAATCCATCCGGACCACTGTGCTCGATTATGAACCATCTCATTCAATGCTTTCAAAATCCGATCACGTTTACTGCACCGACCCTATTCAGGTAGTCTGCATCTACAAAAAATACATGTTGCTGATTGTCTTTCGATCTTAATTGTTTAGTTCTCAGTATTCTCCCAATGTATATCACTTCGTAGTAAATATTATTATTAGTTATCATCATTTTTTAAACTAAACAAGTTCCTTAAAATCAAACTTCATTTTACTGATTTCCACTTATTGTTGTTATTTTTACTTTCTGGTTCTGCTTCGTTTTTTCCTCCGAAATACTAGATCCTTTCAGCTTCAGCTGCTGCTGGAGTTGCCGTTGCATTTGGTGCGCCAATTGGCGGTGTTCTTTTTTCACTAGAAGAAGCTAGTTATTATTTTCCAATGAAAACAATGTTCCGATCGTTTTTCTGTGCTATGGTATCAGCTAATGTTTTGCGTATTTTAAATCCATATGGTAGTGATAATATGATTATGTTCTATGTCGATTATCAAGCACAATGGCATGTGATGGAATTAATTCCATTCGCTTTACTCGGTTTACTTGGAGTAAGTTGTCTGTAGTTTTAGTCTATGGCTACACATATTAATTAACTTCCATTTTGATTTTTACACATGATTATAGGTAGTTTAATTCGTTATTTCTTGCCATTTAGAAGAAAGGAACAAAATGAATACTAAGTCGACGATACATGGTCCTTTTGTGACAAAGTTTTGGTGTGTAGGCTCCGTACCTCAAAAGGCCTTACCATGAGAGGCAGAAAATTCATGGGTTAAAATGGAATAGACCTTTTCTAATTCTCGTTTTTTATGAACGAGGATAGCATTACTTTAGGTGCTAGTTGTCTGGATTAGACACAACTTGATACTGTAAGTAGTATCATTCTACATTCGGACCGTGGGTTTGGTGCTTTTATTACTACTGTTAATCAACCAACCTGCTTGTCGTAGTATTACTTAAAGGAACAAGTGGTACAATCTATGTAGCTGGATTTTACTATTAGACACGAGAACCCAACCACTACTTAAATGTGGTACTTACAGTTGTAAAATGACGTAAACTACCGTAAACCTATTTAAACCAAACGGATGCTCTTTATATCTCCTCACCAACAATAGGTATTCGGATTTTAATCTCCGTTAATTGTAGCTAGATTTAAATAGATCGATTAAAAGAATGTTTTATCAGCAGTCTTCGTGTCAGATGATATTTTCACTAATACATTATGGTCTACCCAGAGCTGCAGATCATTCTCATTGTCCTAATTACTTCATGTTTATATACGATACGGTTATGTGTGGGAAACTTACACCTGCTACCCCTCGTGAAGAAGGACCATAGAATTTTTTCATTGTAAGCTTAGCTCAATGGACAGCTGTTCGAAGTTGACAATATGCTAACCTTATGGAAATGATAGTTTTAATCTTGTGTTATGGCCCATTTATTTTTCAGATCTTACCTTCACACCGAATATCTTTCGAGTTATAATTATGCTATTTTTAAATCTAAGTTTTATAATACTTCCTGTTTGTATAAGACACGGTTATGTGTGGGAAACGTACTCACAACTGTTACCCCTCGTAAAGGAGCATAGACTGCTCATTAGCATTCTCCGTGCAACTCTGTCCTGAGCAATCCTTTCCAGTTGTTATCCATCATTTTCATATCTGCTTCAAATTCCCCGTATAGTGTGTTCTTTGGTCTTTTTGTTTTCAGTTTCGGTTCAGAATTCCAAGTTAAGGCTTGCCTCGTGATTCAGTTTGATGATTTGCCTAATATGTGTCCTATCCACTTCCATCGTCATTTCCTAATTTCCTCCTCAGCTGGAAACTGGCTTGTTCTCTCTCACTGTAGGTTGCTGCTGATGGTATCCGACCAACGGACATTGAGTATCTTATGTTGTAGACAATTGTTTATAAATACTTGTACCTTTTTGTTGATGGTTGTAGTAGTTCTTCACGTTTGAGCTCCGTACGGTAGAACTGTCTTGATGTTCGTGTTGAGAATTCTGACTTTGATATTGGTTGAGAGTTGTTTTGAGTTTCATATGTTCTTCAATTGTATGAATGCTGTCCTTGCTTTGCCAATCCACACCTTTACGTCTGCATCCGACCCGCCTCGTCCATCGATGATTCTGTTCAGATACGTGAAAGTTCGCACCTGTTCTAGAGTTTCCCCATCATGTATGAGATGTTGAGGTGTCTATAATCCAACCGACCACCGTAAGAAAGAGAAAAAGTAAAAGTAAGGGTGTTTATCTTATTCCTGTTTTCACTTAGAATGTATCTGTCAGCTGTCGAACATGCACGACTTTAGAGTGTAGTCCGTCGTATGAATTCCGGATGATGTTGACGATTATCTTATGTTCATCATACTGTTGAGGAAGTTTGCATACTGTTTTCCTATCCACACTGTCAAATGCTTTCTCATGGACAAGGAATTGAATTTGAGTGTTTGGCCTGCCTTCTTTGTCTTTGACCGGTCTCTCTGGTTTACTATGTTTCCCTGCTCGTTTCTTCGTTGTATCGTAAAGCTGTTTCATATTTCCTTTTCTTGCAACTTTTTACGCCGTCGTTGCTAGTTCTTCCACGTATTTCTGCTTGTCGGCTTTAATGCTCTTCTTCCCTTACTTATTCGCCTCAGTGTACTCAACTCGTGCCTTGACCTTCTCCACCCTTTTCGGCTGTTGTTAATTTTTGTCTTCTTGTTCTTCCCTTCTTGAATCTTTTCTAGAGATCCATCGCTTATGATGATGCTTCTTATGGCCCACAACTTCCTGACAAGCTGAAATTAATGCTTCTTTGATATTTTTCCAGTTTTTCTCCATGGTAGTTTCTTCTTCTTTCAGTAGATCCTGTAAGGCTTGGAACCTTTTGTCGTGAGTTATTTTGAATTCAATGAGTTTATTAGTATCTTGAAGGAAGCTGTGTTGAACCTTTATAATGCTGTTCTTCCAGCTGTCCACTGTTCCTTTAGCTTCAGTTTCATCTTAGCCTTGAGCATTTGGGCAACCTGTTCCTGCCATCTAGATATTTCAACAAGTTATCTGTTTTTGTTTGTTTTAATGTATCGTTATGTCTATTAATTGCATAACCCATTCTGCTGCGTTTCTGAAAAGTGTTCAACCTTTCGTTGTCAAAGTTACAAAAAGCTCAATAAGAGACAATATGGTTGCTGACAATATACAACAAAAAGAATGCACATTATTCAGATGTTCATTCAGTGAACTGCTATCATCTAACTGGCGATCACTCAATATTTATCGCCAGGACCGACCAAGAAGAAAGAAACGGAAACTTGTTGAAATACTTTGCGCTGAGAATTCTATATTGTATCAAAAATATAATATTGAATAAAGCTGATAATAATAATAATAATAATAATAATAATAATAATAATAATAATAGCCACCACCAGGTGATGATCTGAATCTATGTCAGCTCCTATTCTGGTTCTCATATCTTCCATTGTCCTTCGGAATTTTTTATTGATGCAAATATGATCTATCTGGTTCTCTGTGGTGTAGTACGGTGAGGTCCATGTAGCTTTGTGTATACGTTTGTGTGGAAATATTGTGCCGCATATGACCAATTTGTTGAATGCACACAGATTTGCAAATCTTTGCACATTTTCGTTTCTCTCTCCCAGTCCATGTCGTCCCATGATATCTTCATATCCGGTGTTGTCTTTTCCGACTTTGTCGTTTAGATCTCCCATCAGAATGGTGAGGTCCTTTCTTTGACACTTCTCTATGATTGACTGCAGCCGCTCGTAGAATTGATCTTTAATGTCGTCGTTGCTATCATTGGTGAGTGCATAATATTGGATAATATTCATTGTGATCCCCTCCTTCTTTGTTTTGAATGATGCTTTGATGATTCTGGATCCGTGAGATTCCCATCCTACAAGTGCATTTCGTGCTACTTTGGACAGCATTAGAGCGATTCCCTGAGTGTGTGGAGCATTTTCCTCTTCGTGACCGGAGTATCTAGCCATTGTTGCCCAGGTTGGTACAATGGGTTTCGCTGATTCCCAGTACTGCCAAGTTGTATCTCCTCATTTTTGTTGCTATTTGACTGGTCTTCCCGGTCTCCCATATTGTTCGGACGTTCCATGTACCTACAAAAATTCTTGCTCTGGTTGTTAGAAGGGGCATCAGCCTCGACTTTCACCATGAGGCGCCATAGTTCTTCTAAATGAAGACCTTCTAACTCCCAGGCCAGAGTTTAAACGGTTTGAATCATTTTTCGTGGTCAGTGTTTTTTTAGCGAGTTAGTTTTCTACGGGATGGGGTCGCTAACCCCATGCCTAACCCTCCTGCTTTACCCGGGCTTGGGACCGGCAGTAACTCTTAAAGAGCTACAGGCGGAGTTTGGAGAACATAAGCTCTGTACAAATATCTTAAAATGTCGAAAACGCGATACTATTGAGTAGGCAGTATACTTGTAAAAGGTTCAGAGTTGTGTCAATTCATTAAAATCTCCAGTTTTGTGCATTATTTCATTATATTGACTTGTAGAACTCGTGACTTATTGTTTTCAACCTTCCCGATTATGATTCTCTCAAAAATATGGTTAGAGTTAGTTTCAATATATTTCATTCATTACCATATTGTACTGTTATCATTCGTTTAGGTCAACGTATCTTTGAGATTTCGACAGTCTCATTTTGAGACTGATCAGTATTTTTCCAACCTTTCTAGAAGACATTATTTAGTTATTTTTGTTTCTGAATTTCAAAAAATTTTTTATTCATATAGTAATAATTTATATATTACAGGGTATTTTTGGTACAGTATTCAATCGAGCGAATTTGTATATCTGTCGTTTGCGTAAAACCACCTGGTTAGGTAAATATCCTGTTCGTGAGGTACTTATTGTTACGCTAATTACTGCTGTTCTTTCATTTCCACATACTTATCTTCGTATGAATACCAGTGAACTGATTAAACTTTTAGTTAGTCGCTGTTCTCCAGGATCTGATTTCTCTCTGTGGTAAGAAGAAAAATTATATTTATGCTTATTGACATGATACTTATTGGTTACATATAATTAATTCTATAGTTTTTTTTACGCCAATTGAATTTCATCCTATGAGATGCATTGTTTAACTGTGAAACGTCTATCGTCCTTCTGGATAAAACCAGGCTGAACATATATCTGAAGTTAGTTCTGATTATGTTGTCCAGTGGGACAATAGATAGTTCACAATTAAACTTTTGAGCTCACCAAAATCATCAACCTGGGTGACAAATCCTTTTCATCATCTCAAACAAATCAACTCAGATTGCTTCAATTAATTTTGTTTAACCAGCTGCTCCATATGGCTGATAGTAGTCGTTAGCGAAGGTTATTCATTAATAATCCACTACACACAAATTAGAGGTTTAATTTTATTCAACTTTCGGGTAATGGTGAAAGTAGTGCTAATGCATAATTTATTACCGATGTAAAAATCAGAATGTTCAGGTATTTTGTTAGTTTTAATAAATGGTGTTTACTGTTTTGTTTCACCTTGTTATTTTGGAGACTTCTTGAATTCAGTAGCTGCTCACGAATTCTCCCAATATTGAATTCAAGACCATCAAGATTTGTATAATGTTTCGGTTAAACCTTCAAGATATCTGGAAAATAACTGTGGATAATAATGTTATGTCTTGATATAGAATAGATCGGACGTAATTAGAAATGTAATCCAGGACGCGCGCTTCATCCTGTTCGGAACTCGTCATCTGGATGTCCCTACATATATATCTTAATTGGGTATTGAAATAAATATTTGCAGCCTCTGGTTTTTTTATTTCTCATATTTTATTCATTAGGAACGTTTAAACTTCTACTTAGCAAAAAAACACACCTAAGGACTTTTACTTCAAATTTATTTCTCTGAGCAAACGAACCGTTTTACTTTGTCAACTTTACAGAACTAAAGATAGTAAGATTCGTAGCGGTTGATCGTAATCGAAAAATTCTTTCTACGATTTATTTAAACGCGATTGTAATACATAGCTTGCACGTAAAGTTTTGGACGTTTCCAGTCTTCTTTCTCATACAATGAATTATCTTGACAATCTTTTCTCAAATAAGAACAAACAAACTTCGCATAGAATGCATTGAATTTCTTTCATTTTGTATGTTCTCATCATTTTTCACACCCATATACATTAGCTAGTTTTTATCAATAAGATATTTTACAATTATGGTTTACTGGTGGAAACGTGTTTAAAAAGCAATTATGTTTACTGATAAGAGATTAATCATTGATTTTCTCGTACAATTATATAAACTGATATATATATATATATATAATATCACATGGCTTACAACACACATAGAATAAATACTTTTTATCAAACAATAGTTGTTGTTCTTCGTGGTTACATGATAACTCATAGTTTAAATTGCAAGAAATACACCGGTCACCAACGTTAGGATGATTTAATCTTCTTTGTAAATAGTAACTAGTAGTATACCGTTGTATGGTCTATTACATCTCTGCTCAATTCACAATACTAAATGGTTTTAAAAATGTGATAATTGAGATTTTGAATAACAATACTGGTTCTCTACCATCCTGAGGTTTGAATACCTTTGTAACATTTCTCTTTTGATTTCTTTCAGTAAAATGTAGGTCTAAACTCCGTTTCTCCTGAAACAATTTGAGATGCTCTAGTAGTATTGTAGTGTGTGCTACTTATATTGACATAAGTAGTATATGATATTAGTCGTGAACAGGTCTGGCATCAGAGAGACAAAAGGATCGAACAGTAAGGAATGGAAACAGGATGCAATTTGTATGAAAATGCAAGAACAATGGAGTCCGAGTCATTTTGAGACAGTTGGTGGAAATTTTTCAAATTAAGCATTTACTTTATGATTGTTAGATTATATTAAGAAGTCCTCTAATTTTGTGTTAAGTACATTCGATTGTCCCCAATGGTGTTCTTGTTCCCTACAGTACGACTCACCATTTAAATGAAAAAAGTTTTAGGACTGGCCTGTGTTGATGTGCATTATAATTTAAGAGGATGAAGCAACCAGAAGTTATCTATCATGTCGATTTCTCATGTACTTATTTTTCATTTGCTTTAGAATAAATACTCATTTTTTTATATCATGATATAATCGAGATTCTGCTTACAATCTCCATCTTTTGTTTTGTTTTTTCTTCCTCTTTTCTTCAGTGATTATCACTATAATACAAGCAATCCAATGACTAAAGTATATCAGAATTATCCTGCCGGACCATCATTGTCTACAGCAATGGTATTGTTGGCAATCGCATTGATTTTAAAACTTATTCTAACTGTTTTCACATTTGGTATCAAAGTACCGACTGGTTTATTTATTCCATCGTTAGCAGTACGTTTTCCTTGTTTTGGCCATTTTTCTGGCAGTTACTAGTAAAAGTGCATTGCTTTTTACTTACTAAATCTAAGTTAATGATCTTAGAATTGTCTCAATTACGGATCCAGCAAGTTCCTAGATGAATTAGTAATTGATTTCCATACAACCACCGTCCTATGAATAAACCTTACACTTTAATTCACTTGGTATTATTTTACTTGAATCTTCTCATTGATGTTGTAGGACTGAAATTGATCAGTCTCTTATTGGCATATGTGCATACTGTGCGTATGTCCTGGATTCCACTGCTAGCGACTATCCATCTTTGCTTATAATGCTTGTAAACCTTAAACTTTATTTCAAGTTTAGTTTGTGTAATGAGGTGAATCGTGTCTTATTGTTTTCTTTTTTTCTTTAAATTGTTTAATTTCAATTTAATTTTTCTCTTTTAATATAATTCAGGCTGGTGCAATAATGGGTCGTATGTTGGGTATAGCTACTGAACAACTTGTTGTAGCGTATGCATCACATCCATTTATTGTTAAAATGTGTAAATCATCTCAACCGTGTATTAATCCGGGACTTTATGCTATGGTTGGAGCAGCGGCTACTCTTGGTGGTGTGACTAGAATGACTATATCATTAGTTGTAGTTATGCTTGAGTTAACTGGCGGGTAAATTTATTGTTACTATTTTGTTAGTTTTATTGTTATTATTTGTCGAAATGCTGATATTTGTTACTTGCTTACTTACTTTAATGAAATAAAGACTAATATTAATGACTGCAAATAAGGATAGTAAGATTGATCCAATAATTCATGACTGGTTAAAACGATATATACAATTATACTGACATGTATTTCATTAGTATTGAACTGGCACTGGTGTTGGTATTACTCAATCAATAGTTCATTCTATGCATACGATTAAAATAATCCATAACTTAATTGTTTCAAATAAGATATATAATTAGTCAATTGTTTTCTTCTTGACACAATCGCATAAAAGTTATAGAAATTTAATTGGACTATTGTGTCATTCCATGTAATGTTCTTTACTGTTATTCTATTCGTAGGGTTTGGTAATTAATTATGAGAAATTAGTTAGTTTTGTAGAGATTTCCGTATTTTTTTAAGGTTTGATTTATTCTGGTACTAATTTTAACTGAAAACGTATTCCACTGATTTTGGATTCATCAACAGTGCTATTTGATAAGTTTGTTCTCTATGGTGTTCATAATTTTCATTGTATTAACCCATTTTATTTAGACTAAGAGCAAGGATTTCAATAGGAAGTTTAACAGTATCTAGTCAATTGTACTTCACATAAAACACAAATTGATGTCACTTTTGATGTGTAAACATGGCTTTTTCTTCACTATAAATTATACTAAGTCAATCTTTAGTTCAAAAGTTGATATCAGTTGGTGAATGAGCGAAAACCATTAGGCGTTGGATAGAAGCTTTTTATTCTTCATTAATTCTCCTCAGTGATAGTGTCCTCTTATAATCTCACTGGAAGAATGGAACTTGTGACTTGCAGGTTTTTGCGACCAACATGCTACTTCTAGACAACCATATCAGAATCCAGTGATCTATGTGTCCGACTTTAGTCGATTTGCGACACTATTATTATTGTCAATGGTTTTATTCAGTATTATATGATTAGTGCAGTATGGAATTCTTAGTACAAAATACTTTAATAAGTTCTTTTACGAATAAAGAACCATCGATATATATATATATATATATATATATATATATATATATATATATAGAGAGAGAGAGAGAGAGAGAGAGAAAAAAACTATCTGGAATTCAATGGAATGTTTTCAAGATGATAAGAGTATCTTACTTACGCCTGTTACTTCTCGTGAAGGAGCATAGGCCGCCAACCAGCATTCACCAATTCACTCTGTCCTGGGCCTTCCCTTCTAGTTCTATCCAATTGTTCTTCATTCTTCTCATGTCTATCTCCATTTCTAGGAGTAATGTTTTCTTTGGCCTTGAGGATTCCATGTGAGGACGTGCGTTGTGACGCTGTTGGGAGCTTTCCTCAATGTGTGTCCCATCCACTTCCAGTGCTTCTTTCTGATTTCTTCCACCACTGAAATCTGGTTTGTTCTCTCCCACAGTAGGTTGTTGCTGATATAATGTCTGGCCGACGGATCCGAAGTATTTTGTGTAAATAACTGCTAACAAACACTTGTATCTTCTGGATGACGGCTTTCATAGTTCTCCAGATTTCCGCCCCATACAGTAGAACTGTCTTAACATTTGTATTGAAAATCCTGACCTTGATGTCGGTTGACAACTGCTTTGATTTCCAGATGTTTTTCAGTTGTAAATATGCTGTTCTTGCTTTGCCGATCCGCGCCTTCACATCTGCATCAGATCCACCCTGTTCATCAATGATGCTGCCCAAATACGTAAAGGTTTTTACATCTTCCAAATCTTCTCCGTCAATTTTGATTGGATTGGTGCATTCTGTGTTGTATCGGAGAATCCTGCTTTTCCCTTTGTGTATATTGAGACCTACTGCTGTTGAGGCTGCTGCCACACTGGTCGTCTTCTGCATTTGTTGTTGCGTTTGCGATAGAAGAGTCAGGTCATCTGGTAAGTCTAGATTGTTCAGCTGTCCACTGTATCCCATGCTTCCCCCAGATGTTGACGTCTTCATGATCCAGTCGATCACCAGGAAAAAGAGAAAGAGTGAGAGTAAGCAACCTTACCTGACACCGGTCTTTACTTCGAAGGAGTCTGTCAATTGTCCTCTATGCACGATTTTGCAGTTTATCCCATCATAAGTATTCTGTATGATATTGGCTATCTTCTGAGGCACGCCGTAGTGTCTAAAAAGCTTCCATAGTTTTGTCCTGTCCACACTATCAAATGCTTTTTCGTAGTCAATAAAGTTGATGTAGAGTGATGAATTCCAATCAATTGATTCTTCCACAATGATCCGTAGAGTTGCGATTTGGTCTGTACACTATCTATCCTTACGGAATCCAGCCTGTTGATCTGGAAGTTGGGCGTTTTCTGAGCCCTTCATTCTGTTTAATAATACCCTGTTGAAGACTCTTTCTGGTATTGAGAGAAGAGTGATGCCCCTATAGTTATCACACTTGCTGAGATCGCCTTTCTTCGGTATTTTGATCAGGAGTCCTTCTTTCCAGTCTTTTGGTACTTGTTCTTCATCCCAAATCTTGCTGAAGATAATGTGGAGTAATATTGCAGTTAATGCTACGTCCGCTTTCAGTGCCTCTGCTGAAATGTTGTCTGATACTTCTGCTTTTCCGCTCTTGATTTGATGATGGCCATGCTGGTCTCTTCAATTGTTGGTGTGCCAATATCGACTGGGAGGTCTGTGTGTGTTGCTTCGATGTTGGGTGGGTTCAGTGGGGCTAGTCGATTCAAGATTTCTTTGAAGTGTTCTACCCACCTGTTTCAATGTTCTTCAATATTGCCTTCCTTACTTTTCACTGATCGTTCTCGTTTACGTCAATTCCCAGCGAGTTTCTTTAATGTGTCATACAGTTGTTTCATGTCTCCTTCTCTTGCAGCTTTTTCCGCCGTCGTTGCTAGTTCTTTCACGTATTTCTGCTTGTCGGCTCTCATGCTCTCCTTCACTTGCTTGTTTGCTTCTATGTACTCAGCTTGTGCCTTGACTTTCTCTGCTCTTGTTCGGCTGTTGTTAATTACTGTCTTCTTGTTCTTCCTTTCTTTGATCCTGTCCAGTGTTTCTATAGAGATCCATTCCTTATTATGATGCTTCTTGAGGCCCAGAACCTCCATACACGTTGAAGTTAATGCTTCTTTGATACTTTTCCAGTTTTTCTCCATAGTAGTTCCTTCTCCATTGAGTAGATCATGAAAGGCCTGGAACTTGTTGCTGAGGACTATCTTGAATTTGTTGAGTTTGTTAGTATCCTGAAGAAAGGCCGTATTGAACTTTTGTGATATTGTCTGCCCCGTTGTCCAGTGCTTCTTGAGTTACAATTTCATCTTGGCGACCAGCAAGTGATGATCTGATGCTATATCAGCTCCTCTCTTGGTTCTCACGTCCTCTAAAGTCCTCCTGAACGTTTTGTTCATGCAAATATGGTCGATTTGGTTTTGTGTAGAGTGATCCGGTGAAGTCCATGTGGTTTTGTGTATGCGTTTATGTGGGAATATGGTGCCACCTATGACCAGCTTATTGAAGGCATATAGGTTTGTAAATCTCACCATTTTCGTTCCTTTCTTCCAGTCCTTTTCGTCCCATGATGTCTTCATATCCAGTGTTGTCCATTCCAACCTTGGCATTTAAATCTCCCATCAGAATGGTCAGGTCCTTTGTTGGGCAATTCTCGATGATTGACTGCAGCCTATCGTAGAATTGATCTTTAGCGTCTTCATTGAGGTCATTGGTAGGCGCATAGCATTGGATGACGTTCATTGAAATGCCCTCTTTTTTGTTTTGAACGAGGCTTTGATGATCCTTGGTCCATGAGATTCCCATCCTATAAGTGCGTTTTGTGCTCGTTTGAACAGCATCAATGCAACTCCTTGTGTATGTGGAGCATTTTCTTCTTCATTACTGGTGTATAACAGAAGCTCTCCTAAAGCTAGTCGTTTTTGTCCAACTTTCGTCCAATGTATTTCACTGATCTCAAGCACCTCCTCATTTCTGCAGCAATCTGGAAGGCTCTTCCGGTCTCCCCCATTGTACGAGCATTCCATGTACCTAAATAAATGGTTGCTCTGGTTGCCAGAAGAGGCATCGGCCTAGTAAATTCCGAAGGGATTTGGCTTTCATCATGAGGCGTCATAACTCTTCTAAATGAAGACCTTCTGACTCCCAGGGCAGAGTTTAAAAGGTTTGAATAATTTTTTCTGGTTAGCGTTTTTTTAGCGAGTTAGTTTTTTACAGGATGGGGTCGCTAACCCCATGTCCAACCCTCCTCTTTTATCCGGGCCTGGGCTCGGCAGGAGCCTCAGGGGGTGCTCCAGTCGGAGTTACACCAGAAAATACACAAGGAGAAAGACGTGAATAGAGTTGGTGGTTTACATTCGATAAGACAACACTTTCGGAAGTTTAAAAGGTTTTAAATATCTATCTTTACCAACTGCTTTCAACACTCTCCTCAAAACTACAAAACGAGGAATAGTAGAGAATAACAGGTAATACACAAAAGGCAAATATCGAAGAATATCAAAAGCATTGAGCTCTTTTATATCAGTCGAACAGAAAACTTACTTCAATATCAATAAAACATAAGAAAACCAAATTGTTCCGTGTTAAGAAGAAAGCAAATACATGATTCAGTGATGAGTTGTATCTCTTAGCTAAGACAGTTAATTTATTGGTTTTGTAAATTATATAAACACATCGAATTATTCTCACCCAATGTTGACTACTGCTCGCTCAAGACATTCAAAGTTACCAATTGACTGAATATTTAAAACGTTATATACTTCATTGTTATCTTTTTGATGTTGTTTTAATTAGCAGTTATTGAATAAAAAATTTTCCACCTACAGTCTCCTTGCGATGGCATAACAGTCTTGTTCGTCGTAGTAAGCAGCAGCTATTCCACAGTTATAGGAAATAGCCGCACCACTAACAACAGTAATCAACATCATACCAAATTATAATATGCTGCCAACATCCAGTATCATGTCACATGGGTTTAGTCCCTTGATGAATTATGAGTGTTTTAAACTAAAACGAATCAGTTTTTTACTGATGTTAACTTGTGTTGACAACACACTTCAAATTAAGCAAGATCCGTAAACATCCTTCCTTTTAGATGTTCTCTCTGCTTATATTAAATTATATAAGATGACACTTAATCAAAGATACCCTGCGTTTTAATGTATTTGTCGTTGTGGTATTTTAAAATTCACATCCATTCAAGATAACAAACAAACGATTTCACGTAAAGCATCACTTCCTTCATGAATGTAGATACGGGTAGCTGATGCATATCTACCTATGCGAAACCTAGATTCAAGCATTCCTGTTGACTACTCTTAACCAAATAATTTCGAAGCATATTGCATCAATCAATGTAATAGGATTCTTCTATTTTTTCATTGATTAATCTGTATCAATTATTTGATTAACTTACCCATAGGATAGAGATAACATGTCTCATTTTTTCATTTTCATTCTTCCTTTTTTTTAAAGTTTTGTACAAATTAATTATCTCAGTTACTATCTGATCGTGAAAGCAGAATGTCGTGCTGCAGTATTTTTTTTTCAGGGTCATTAAATTTATTTATATCTCCTTATTCTTATTTATAATGAAGCATAAGTTTAGAAATATAGATGGAAATCTATTTCCCACAACATACTTATTCTCTGATTGAAAATATTGTATCATAGAAATTTACAAGTGTTCAGAAAGTTTAATATTGTTCATAGTTGATGATGGACAAATGCATTAGTATTCAGTTAGTTAGTTTCTCATTTCAGTTTACTTTCAATTAGTTGGTTAGAAGAAATTTACAAACTATATACAGTATATTATCTTGTTATATGTCATCCAAGGCGTTGTTTCGTTTCATTAAATATTCATGCGAATTATTTGAGTAGGAAGTTAGAAACAATAAGCAACCTGTGTTTATTGCATAATGGTTTAAATTGTTGCATCTCACATCACTATAGTTTTCATATGGACTTATTTTTGTTCGTTTACCTTATCATATAACAGATTTTCATAATTCGAGATGGTGAATTTTAAACTTACTCCTAGATTGTTTGTTTCAATACTTTGTGGGGCTGTCACTCTTGTACTTGTTCTTAAAAAGAAAGTATACTGATCTTTTTTTCTCTACCTACTGTGTTTAAGATTATTGATTATTGTCACTATGAGAGTGATTTTGAAAGTTTGAACAAATATATTAATGAAGTGTACAACAGGAACAAACTGGATTTCGCTTCATCATCATTCTTATTGTTACAACGTTTTATTCATTATTTCATTATTGTCTATTGTGTATCTTGTGATTAACAATAATTATGTACGTTTTCCTTTTTCTTTTTTTATTAAAAAAAAACAAATACCATTTTTAGTTTAAATTATATAATTCCATTAATGATTGCAGCTATGGTTAGTAAATGGACTGGTGATCGATTAACAAATGGTAGTATTTACGAAGAGCATATACGATTAAATGATTATCCATATCTTGGATCGTATGATGAATTAGATAATACATTAGTAGCAGCTGATGTAATGCATCCACGTAGGTGAGTATACAATTTTACTTTTCAAAGAATTTTTATTGTTCTTTATTTCTTTATTTGTAACTCCTAACTTGATGATAATATTTTGATTGTGGCTAGATGTCATGGAGTAGTGTGAAGAGTGGGTGTTCGACTTTGAATTACTAAGTGTTAGTTTCGATTTCCGCTGTATGTACTACAGTTCCATGGAAGGGAGGCGTATCTGGATAGTATCACTAGCCCGTACACACAAACTATGGCTTAAACGAATTTTTACTTAGATAGATTAGTGACGTTTAATAAATAATTAGGATTCTGAATGCAATTGAAAATTCACTTACTGTAAAGATGATTTTATTAATAATAGAGTTACAATTAAGGACGTGTGTAAGTAATCTCTTGTTTGATTAATTATTCAGTTCATTTATCAGGTGAAATTTTTATTGAATTGGATTGATGTAACGGTATAGATTAATACTGAATGTTTAGTGTCGAATAATTCTCTCATCAACTAATGGAAATAATTAACTTAGGTATTTTCCTTGTAACGTTGTTTGTTCTAGATAAAACAGTCAATACTCTTGATTTAAAGATTTATTAGGTTCAATAAGAATAACTGATGAAATCGGCCATCATAATTTATTCATTTGTTGAATTTACGGTGAGACCGTAATTTATGGACGACCATTGATCGACGCTAAATTGACCTTGAGAATGTTCACCTACTAACCAAAAGTAATTGACGATTATAAACCAGTATGGCGAATTATCATTAGGATTTATAGGTAATGGTTAGGGTTAGGAATAAGACTTGGAGTTTTTATCACGAACCGACATCAGCTAAAATGCCAAAACGCTATTTAACCAAATGGATGACTGAACTTCACGCCAAAATCCCATATCTGTTATCTTATATCTGATTGGTCCGTTCATAAGTTATAATTTCGTCCAATTTACTAATCATTTTGAATGATTATAATCGTCTATATTTTATAAATGTATTGAAAATATTGGAAAATACTTTATTGTAAACGTGTCTATAAATCATGTTATTATTTGATAAGATTGACTGATAGTTGTATTTTGTTGTTGTTCATTCAGGATTTTTTTTATGTTAATGAGATTTACTAGTCATGACTAGTGTATGCATATTTTATTGAATTTAGACTAACTGAAGTAGATTATTATTATTATTCAATGTATAATTAAGTGTACGTGTTAGAATACCTTTAATTGTACAATATCTTTGTCAGTCTTCTGTTTTTATCTCCTTTTTTTCTATTTGACTTCGTAAGGAATTTCATTCATTACCCTGGCTAAAACATTTGGAACTACTTTGTGTTGTTCAGTTTATAAACATGAAACAGACATAAACAACTTAAGACCTAGTTCAAATGTGTACAAGTTATACATAACTATACTCAACACCAACTTGCCTTATAGTAGGTTGGATGGAAGCTAATGGTGGTCAAACTAAAATGTGACATCAGTTCATAAAGTCACTGAGATGTAGATTACGTGAATTTTGTCAAACTAATGGAAAGATTGTTATCTTAGACCATTCAACTAATGTGCTATATTGAGATGAATCAATTACAACCATAAAGATATAATAATTTAAGTTGATAGCATAACATGTCTAGATCAATTGATTTTAATCGTTAACATTTATCGTTCTTTTTTGTTTGTCAGTTATCTCCATTCTGTGGTATCAATAACAGCCTTATTACAGTATTTATTGTTATAAATTAATTGAATTATTTGTTGAGTTTCGTTAATATTCATCTGTGATATTTGTATGAAATAATGATTCCTTTTTACTGATTGAATTCAAAATACAGTACATTGGTTTGTGTCTATCTAGTACTTCCTAATCCAATTGCGTTATTTCTGGTATTCTTAGTTTGTGCTATAATTCAAATACTATTAATTATCACACCATTCTTTCTGGAAAAATAATAAACAATGAATATTTGGTTGAAGTTTGACAAACGCGATTGGATATCAGTTCGTTAGTTTCAAGATTAAGCGTTCTCACGTAAGAGCGAAAGTCTTAGGTTCAATCCATTTTGATGGAGTCATGGATACGCACAGATGAAGAGTCCCATACTAGAACGAAATAGCTGTGCAGTACCTCCTTGGTTCCCAGTTTAGGTGTAACTGGAACTGGCTCATAATATCAAAAATGAATAAGCCAAGTATCACAATTTCCATTAAACTTATTGATAGTTATTTTTTTACAGGTTATAATGTTCTTTAAAGTATTAATGCTGTTCCAAGTATGTAAATTGGATGGTCAGATACAAAAGTGCCCACTTGGTTAAATTTATTGATTGTTGTTGTAATAATTAATAAAATGAATCCGAAATTTCAAATAAAGTAGGTGACGCTTACATGGTATATTCGGAGCAACGCCATTCAGATCCCGTCAACCAATAACTCTATTAACAATTACTTGTGACGACTAGCTGATTTCCTAATATCAAAACATATTGAATTTATTTCATTGTAGTAATATAATAATAAGTCACTCGAATTTCGTAAGACTCCGCTTGTAGCTATTATAGGGTTACCGACAGTCCCACACAAAGGACAAGGGTCGTACATGGAGTCGGCAAGCCCATCCAACAGAAAAAACTCTGACATGAGAGTTCAAGGATCTTCATCTAGAAGAATTATGACGCCTCGTGATGAAAGCCCAGACTTTTCGCAAGTCACGAGGTCGATGCCACTTTTAACAACCAGAGCAACAATTAATATAAATACACGGAATGTCCGGACACTGTGAAAGACCAGGAGAACCAGTCAAACAGCTACGGAAATGATGAGATACAACTTGGTGCTGCTCGGAAACAGTGAAAACCATTGGACCAAAGCTGGACAGAAAAGACTAGATACAGGAATGTTGCTGTTGTATTCAGGTCACGAAGAGGAAAATACTCCACACACATTCAGGGTGTTACTCTGATGCTGTACAAAGAAGTCTGTGAAGCACTGATAGGATGGGAATCTCGTGGACTCAGAATCGTCAGAGCATCATTCGAAACAAAGAAGGAAGAGATCACAATGAATGTTATCCAATGTTATGCACCCACCAATGATAGCAACGGTGACAATAAAGATCAGTTCTGTGAGAGGCTGCAATCAAACATATCGAAGTTCCCAATAAAGGGTGTCACCATCCTGATGGGAGATCTAAACGAAAAGGTCGGAATAGACAACATCGAGTACGAAGATATCATGGGGACAACATGGATTGACTGGGAGAAAAGGATGGGAATGGTGACAGATTTGTAAATCTATGTGCATTCAACAAATCGTTTATGTTTGGCAGTAGATTTCCCCACAAACGCACACACGAAGCTACTTAGGTCTCACCGGATCACACTACACAGAACCACACCAATCATATTTACATCATTGAAAAATCCAGAGGGTCAGTGAAAGACGTGACAACCAGGTGATGAGAGGAGCTGACACAGTCTCAGATCACCACCACCTGGTGATTGCCAACATGAAACTGAAACTAAAGAAACAGTGGGCAGTCGGTGAAACAGAATTACAATAGTTGAGTGCAGTCTTCCTTCAAGATACTCACAAACTCAACCAATTCAAGATAGCTCTCAGACACTAGCTCCAATTCTTACAGTGTGAAGGCATTAGGACCTGACAATACACCAACTGAAGCACTTAAGTTAGACACAGAGGTAACTGAAAACATACTTCGCATTTTATTTAGGAATATATGGGAGAAAAACAGGTACTGACAGATTGAAGAGAAAGATACCTCATCAAGATACAAAAAAAGAGATCTGAGCATGTGTGAGAATTCACCTACAGAGACATCACACTTCCTTGACTATAAAAAGCATTTGACAGTGTGGATAGGAAAATATTATGGAAACTTCTTCGACATTATGGAGTACATGAGGAAATCGTCAACATCATCTGGAATTCATACGACGTAAGCTGACATGTAAATGATGGGTAGCAACTGTAAAGCACTGAAAAGGATTGTCCAGGAGAGTGTTGGATGGCGAATCCTGGTGAGCGGCCTAACCTCCTACACGAGGGTTAACAGGCCTAAGTAAGTAATAAACATACTGTGCAACTTAACAATTAAGTACACGTTTGTGCGCATGGTATCAAAGTAAACATATTTCTTGAGAACTAGTGATATTTCAATGATTGTTCAAACTGAAGTAGGTACAATAGAGCTCTAACATAGAAGAGGTTGTTTGATTGTAGATTTCCTCTTATCGATAAGCCACTTTGCTAATCTTAATGTTATTTCCATTGGATATGTAATCAGTTTGACAAGATGACGTTCTGTGTCATCATGTCGCCTGATTTGCTGGTAAATTTTGTTTTTGAAATTAGACTTTTTTGTTGTATTCGGGAAATAGCAACATGTCTATATGCATGCATTTTCAATACGATTTCGTTATTGATAACGTCAATTAATTGACTTGTCTTATTCCTTTTTCCTTTCTCGTTATTGTCTATAATGTTTCCATCTGTTTTTTCAGAGATTCTAATTCCCCTCTATATGTTGTTACACAATATGATATGACAGTTGGAGATCTAGACCAATTGGTTAGTGGATGTGATGTTAAAGGATTTCCTGTCGTTGTTTCACAAGATTCCCCATACCTAGTTGGATGGGTTTCAAGAAGAGAGTTACGTTGGGCTTTGGGTAAGCTATTAGGAAACTATCTTTGAATTATTATAAAGTGTTTTGCTTGTGATTTGTTGATATCTACTTATATACGTTGATAGGTAAACGTTATTATGTCCAGTAGGTACAAGTAGAATTCCTATGTGAGATTTTTCTAAACCAATTTTAATTAAAAATCTTTTCGATTACCTAAATGTTTGTAGATTGATTGATGTAATTGATTTATTGTGTAAACTATTTTTGTCAGAAGTGAATGTTGATTACAGAATTAATTAAATGTTGGTTCACATTAACCTCAAATAACGTTTTGTATTTAATAAATACTTATCTTTTGAATCTTTCGTCAGTTATTTATATAACTGATGACTGTTGATAGTTACAACTTACAATATGAGTTAATGAATACTTGTAACTCGGATGGATGATTTTGATGGTCTTTCGTTCTTTGAGCTGGATGGCTTAGTCGTGAAACTTTCAGCAACAATTCAGTCAGAATTAAGTCATTCAAATACTAATTTTTGATGTTAACTGAATGAATGTATTCGTAAGGATGCGGTTTCGACTCCCATTTCGTTTGTAAATATCGTAGTGCTACAAGAGTTTAGTGGCGGTAACATAACATACACCTCGAAAGATACATTATCCTCCTCATGTTTGCAGCGGCACTTTGCTAACGAGTGCTAAACTGACTTAGAAACTAGATCTCATGTTTCCTTCCTTCTACCTCCAGCCAATCAACGTCATTACTTAAATAATTCTTCATTGAATAATTCTATTAATTGTAGTAGATACCTATCTCGAAAACATCCGTTTGTTTAAAGTGTCTTGTGTAGCTCAGTCAGTAAAACAGTGTATAATGATTAAAATCTAGTTGTGAATAGTCATTATCATCTATTATCCCATTGACTAATTTTACTTGCAAACCAATTTTAAAACACCGATTGCTTACTTTTCGGGATAGCTAGGTGGGTGGATAGTTTTTACGTTGTTCTACTTGTCTGTATTTTTGTTTACTCACTTCTGTCATGGAACTTGATTGAGAAATAGTTTTTATTATATGCTCATCTCAATGGTTCTGTTTACCATAGATAAATATTGGTTTTACCTGTTTATTATCTATATAATGAATAGATCGTGAAAGAAAATATGATTCAAATATTGTCGATGATTCGCCAGTTCATTTTGCTACATTTCAGGAAGTATATGCAGATGATAATCAGGAATTGACACCTGTCAACTTACAAAATATTGTTGATTTGGTACGTTTTGTAATCTAATATCCCGTAATAAATTATTGTTATTGTTGTTGCTATTATTAACTCCATAGTTTACGATATGTTTATTGATTTATCAGTTTTCCAAATAACAGTAAAACCGTTTCACGGTGACCTTAACGTCCTATTTAGTTATAGTGTTTTTTCGTTTTTATTTTAAAAGAAACGTTTTCCAGTAGTCATTTTATTATTTACTGGTCTAAATTATCGTATATATTTATGAACTCGCGTTCCCCTGTATCAAAATTATTCATATTTGTTTATTGACTGTATATGTTTTAAAAAGTGTAGATGAACAGTTGGTAATTCAGTTTTTCCTGTTAAGTATCTCCATGATCAATTCTGACTGTTGTTTTGCAATACAAGATCCTACCACCATATTTCTCTTTTTTTAATGTCTTTCACAGTGCATCAAGCTAAACAGACAGGGTTTAGGAAACTATGTGATAAGCTAATAAATCGATTACCAGCCTGGGCCGGCTATGAAAAGTCGACATTTTACTCATTTAACCAAAAACGATCACGGTTGTATATATCACTACCTGTAAAAATACACACATGCTTCAATTGTGAATAATTGTCTACAGTAAACTCTTTGTACAATTTATCTTTGTTTTTTACTTTTGGTGTTTTGGTCCAGACAGTGTGTATCATTTGTAACTTATTCTAATTTCAAACCGTTTAATTGTGTCCTAACTCACTGTTATTGGCGATTTATGTGTCCTTTTACCATTTAGTCTCCTACAACGGTATCGGATCATACACCGATGGAAACAGTTTTGGATTTCTTTAAAAAGTTGGGCCTCCGACAAATCATTGTTACACGTAATGGGTTAGTAAACGTTTTTTTTGTTTACTAAGTGTAATCAAATTTTTAGTAATTGTCAAATACTTCATTCAGTAGTAGTGATAGACTTGTAAAAAACTGTCTAGTTATCTTTATTATCGTTTCTACTATTTATGTCTACTTAGCTTGTTGCATTTCGTGTCGGTAAAATTCACGACGCGAGAGCGAATTTCATATGACAGTAACATTTATTATAGTTACCTAGGATATAGTTAAGTTGAAGCGAAGCTGATCAGCAAAACGTAATGATCTGCTTTCATAAGTTTTGGCATTTAGTCTCTGTTACCCCTTCTACTTGATTAACTCAGCACACGATATACAACTGACAGCACTCGAACGTGTAGAGCCCTCATAGTCCAAAATTAGAAAACAGATGAAGTGTTTGTAGGGTGAGAATTAAAAACATACAGAAAAATATGTGTATTTATAATTATTGGCGATAGTTATAACTTAGTTCAACTGATGAAGCTCAAAGGTATCAAAGTGTACGAGCAGTGGTTTAAAGGCAAATATTATTGAATAAAAGTGATCTACTGATATCCTCTACTTTTAAAGGCCACGTTTGATAGCCATAAAGGTGAACGGAACAAAATACTGAGCAGTAAACTCGTCCTTCAGTTGGTAGATTAATATCTTGCCTACGCTATAAGTGACGCAAGTTGGCAAAAGTCTATCAAGCCTTTTGAAACTACGTAGGGATTTCGTCAGAGACTGATAAGACTTCTAAGATAAGTGAAGTGATCGAAACACTCAACTGCTTCACGCTATATCATTTGTTCTGGGGTTGACATCAACCATTTTCTTAACTAACATTTCACATTTTGATGGAGAGAAATATATCCCAAACATGCTTGGATTAACGCTTGAGGTGTTCAGAAGACTATTACGCTCATATGAGCGTAATACGCTTCTCGTTGTTCGCAAATGGGAGAATTTCGCCAAAAGACAGGCTTCCACTCGAGAACAACTATATTTTCTCCATGAGTGTCTTCGCCAGCATGTTCTACCAACAAGTGTAAGATATAGACCTCCAATCAACTGCCCATTAGGATGGAAAATAGTTAAGCAAAGTGGAAGAAAAATGGTACACCTAATGATAACGGATGCACACTACAGAATCCGCAAATACCAACACGTCATAGAGGACCAAAAGATGAAGCTACAAAGGACACTTACGTCAGAACACTTGGAAATCTTGACAACAGCCATCGAGATATCATGCAAACGACACAGAGAACAAAGAAGAAACGCCTTAAAGAAAAAACTGATCAAGATCTCAAAACCACCCATGGAAGAAAACACAAACAACTGCATGATCAATTTGTCAAAACAACCACTAACAAATACGGAAGAACACCTACTCCAAAAAGGATTAAACTACAATACAAGCGACGCCTCAAAGCTGGAATTTTTCGCAGCACTGGAGTCATCACTCAAAACTTCGGGAATCAGTGAAGAAACACAACAAGAAATAAGGCAAACTATAGTACCGCTAACTCAACAGGCGAAGGAAAACAACCAACTGACTCCACAAGAACAAAAGGCCTTAGAAGTACTCAAAAATAGAAAGGATATTGTCATAATACCAGCGGAAAAAGGACGCACCACAGTAATCATGGACAAAGAAGAATACGTCAAAAAAGCCGAAGAACTACTGGAAGACAAGAACACATACAAACTGATGGATACAAACTCGGTCAAAAAATTAGACAAGCAAATCTCAAAGACCTTAAACAAGCTAGTCAAAGCAGGAGAAATAACAAAACAAGAACAATGGAGAATGAAATCCAACGGACCATTACTCCCTCGATTCTACGGCAGACCCAAAATACACAAACCAAACATCCCACTACGCCCAATTGTAGCACTCCCCGGAACACCAACGTACAATTTGTCAAAAGAAATTTCAAGAATACTGAGACATTTAGTGGATTCAGCCAACCACTCAATCAAATCCTCTTCACAATTCCTGAACCAAATTAAGGACATCTAAATCAACAACGACGAACTGATGATATCCCTCGATGTTCAGAAGACTGCATTTTGTCAGTGCCTTTAGTAAACAAACTATGTCACCTGCGTATTTCAAGTCAACAAGAGAATTTCCTGGTGGGCGATCGACTTCTGATGATGCTTCGAAGACACCTATGATCGAATACTAGTAAGCTACGAATATTCTCTACTCTCACCGGCATAAATGACACAAGTTGGCAAAAGCTAGTTAACGCTTCTGTATCCATGCTGAAATTTCGTTACATACCAAACCACTAGGGCTGATGAGACTCCTAAGATAAGTGAAGAGGTTGACACGCTCAACTGCTTCACTCCCTATGATTGGTTCAAGTGCCGATGCAACCCAATCCTGAAGCAATATTTTGCATTTCGAGGGGGGAGAATTGCATCCCGAACATGCTTGCATTGTTGTGTACGGTGGTCAAAAGACTCTGTATTTTATCGTCGTCTTCACCAAATAGAACTATGTCATCGGCATATTCTAAGTCAACAAGTGAATCTCCCGGTAAAAGTTGAACTGGAAATTTGGATGAGGAAGTTGTTATCTCTAAAAGCACGTCAGCGACAGAGTTAAACAAGAATGGAGAGAGTGAACAGCCCTGACAAACACCACTTGAGGTAATCAATTCTGATGACATTTCGCCATAAGCTCTCACTCGGCCAGTTGTGTTCGAATAGAGAGCCTTTACAAGGTTAATGTACTTCTTTGGTATTCCTTTCAGTGACAAACACTGCCACAGAACCTTACGATCAACAGAGTTGAATGCTGCTTTAAGGTCGAGAAATACTACCATTGTGGGGCGTCTGAATGTATGTCTGTGTTCTAGAACCTGACGTAGTGTGAATATGTGGTCTATACAACCACGTCCAGGTCGAAAACCAGCCTGATTTTCTCTAATCTGCTTTGGTTAGGCGTCGAAGTATTATTGAAGCTAATATCTTAGACCTTATATTAGTCAAACTGATTCCTCTGTGATTGCCACAAGAGGACTTTTGTGCAGTCAGACGGGACTACGTCCAGTTCCCTGATTCTTCCTATGACTTCAGTCAATCTCTCCTCTAAAACTGGACCGCCATCCTTAAAAATCTCAGGCGTAAATCTGTCAGAACCTGCTGCTCTTCCACGCTTCAGATTTCCTATAGCTTTTTCAGCTTTGTGAAGAGTTTAAGGACTCACATCAACTTCTCTTTTTAGTTCGACTGGAGATCTTTGAAAACTGAAGGTCAGTTGAACTGATCTCTAAAGTGTTCTGCTCACCGATCCAATCACCTGAATTGAGAATGAATAATATGTCCATCTGTTTCCGAGATCATTTCTCTAACAGTTGGATTCCTAATAGCGGTTTCCTTGACAAGTCTGAACAGTTGTCTGCTTCTGGCTACTGTCACTGCCTTTTCCATCTCTCTTGCTTTAGATACCCACCACTGTTCGCGATCATTGCGTAGGCTTCTTATCAACCTGCGCTTAAGCTTACTCTGCTCTTCATCATATTCAGAGCCAGATGGAATGTGTTTTCGAGCATCTATCAGTGAGGTAGGTGCTGCTGAGATCCACTGTTTCTCCGTAACCTTATGGTTTACCTTACTAGCAGATATCACTAATGTTTCCACAGGTTTTCGGATATCATTGAACTCTGCCTCGTGGTGGGCATCAATTACATGGCTGCTTAACTATTTTTCTAGTTGTTCCTGAAATATATTCTTAGCTTGTCTATCATTAAGTAGGACCCCAAGAGATTTACTTGCAGCGTTTTTACCTACGTCCAGTAAGACGCAGACAACTGCGCGCTCGCAATAGAACATTATCTGAATCTAAGCATGTGCTCCGAAACGAGCGACAGTCTTCCATCGAGCCCCTCTATCGGTGGCTGATAGCAATGTGATCTAGTTGGGTCTAACGTTGGAACGAATTCGGAGGTCGTCATCTCGGAAGATGTTTTTCCTTATGCCTAAAAAGTAGGCAGACGACAAGTGTCCCTATCTTTCCGAGTCCTTACCGTTCCGTTTAATTGGATAGCGCAAAATAGACTGTCAACTGCGATCCAGTCTAAGAGAGCTAGTTCTACCGTCGGACTCAATGCTATACCTGCACCAACGAAGTCACGGAAAGCAGCATCAAGGCTTCCAGACACACGAGGCGTGAATCGAGATGGGTTTTTTTATATGGTGAGGTCATATGAATGACGCTACCTGGACTCTGTATGCGCGTTTCGGAGACGCAGCATACATCGATGGCGCAAGATTCTAAATTACTAGTTAAGGAAGCCTGTTGTCTTATTTGGTACAGTGTTCGGAAGTTAAAAGCTCCTACATATAGTTTAGAGCGTGGTTTTAAGAGACCGGGAATAACGCTACGCGTACTCGAATCGTTCGCATTAGCGGCGCGAGGTGATAAAAGAACGTGAGAAGGTTAAGTCGTGAAGATAAGAGAGTTATTAGGAAGTGTATGGAGGATTTGAATATGACCAACTTGGTCTCATGCGCTGCTACGGGTATGAATGCTTATGTCACTTACTGGCTGCCCTACTCCATGGGAGGTTATTTCTTGTGAAACATGAAAAAGAAGGTTGGATTAGTGTTGGTCTTAACGACTTGAAAGTGAGACTACAGAGTCCAAAGGACAAGTACTTGGGGTCGGACACCCTCGGCTTTTTTGTAGGATGTTTTAACGTGTTAGCTCCGTTCTTCGAAATACCTCACCACCGGAGACGGAAATCGGTGAGGTAAGGTGAGGTGTGACATTTTTATGGTTGACCTTTTCTAACCCCTTCCTTCCTTGTGAGAAGGCAGCATCGCTGCAGATGCTGGTTCTCCGAGGGAAACACCTTACTACTGTCACACCCCTCTACATTCAGCAGTACGACTTCACCCTCAGACCTTGAGTTGCTGCTTTCAATCTTACCGTTCTCCAGTCGAGCTGCATTGCATGGTAGAACCTACAGAAACATATGTCCCAGCCAATATGCCTCGGTTGGGTCATCACGACAGGCATGCTTGACCATGATGTCAAGGTAGCAGCTACGGTCGGGACTGCAGTCAGATAATCAGTAATAAATAATGCTGAACGCCAAACTTAATGCAAGTAGTCAGTGAGCTAGTTAACATCCACTGACTGAGGTCAATTAAATTGCGTTATGCAGATGAAACTAAATTCTTCCTTGAAATATTGTGCTGGATAGTGTTCATATAGATTAATTAGAAGCTTCGAATCACTTGATTAATACTCAGTATCAATCACGCAATGCTTTTGTTCTGAATCTTGAAGTTAAGAACGTTCAAATAGGGAAGCGTTTGATGTGACTGAAAACCCATGGTAATCTCACAAGTGCATCCTTTTCATACCTCGAAAAAACAAAGGGTTTTATCCAGCTTCATGCGTCCTAGTTTTTATACTCATAGCCTTATATTTTACTATGTTTTTCTGTTTCACTCACCCTAAATTTTATTGCTGGGAAGTTTGAGAACCTAAATCCACATAGTTTCATATTCGGATCCACTCACCAATCTTGACAGTCACGTCCATCATATTGAAATTGCCTTTCGTTAACCATCACATTATGGTATTACTCTATATTGAAAACTATTTTCAATTTAATCAGTATTACTTAGAAACTAATAGTCTGAATGTAATATGTAAATGAAGTTTTGATTATTGTGAATTTCCATACATGCACTCTTACATTATCAGTGCAAATGCAAATAAACAAAATGAAACATATTGTCAGTAAATAAAATTCGTTTATTTTGAGATTCATAGCTCATTCTGTGACGTTAAACAATTTATCCTGGTTCGGTGCCTTCGAACATGAAAAAAATATATCACTTAAGAGCATTTGGATTTCATCTTTTGCAGGAGGTTAGTATACCTAGTGGTTGGTTGAAGTATGGTGAAAAGCTGAGTTACATGACTGGTCGTTCATTAAACTGTATACGTATATACGCTATCGTTTTTGAATTGTATTTCAATATGTTCGTTTCTGTGTTTCTCCCCCGATCTAGGTGTCCTCTTGGTGTATTGACTAAAAAAGATATACTTCGTCATGTTCGTCATCACAATCCAAATAATCGTTAAACAGTAACTTTTAACATAACATTGTTAATATCCCTCCGGTTATCTGCCATGATTATTTTTTGTGCTTCTCTATACATGAAACACATGAGTATTTGTTCGTTTATTTATTTATTTGTCTCATTTAACGGATAATTTCCATTGGTTTTTATTGCACATTATCCCTCCATAATCCGTCATTATATATAATCTGTAAAATCTTCTTAGAATGATTACACATTCTTTTCAAAAATTATCTACGAATGATATATTCTTATATACGTAATGTATAATAAATGATCTCTCCTGTTCTATAAATTGTTACCAACTCTTTTCGAAAAGACATTATTCCAGTTATACCATCCGAAAATTATGACTGTTACAAGAAGGTACCTAAGTGGTACTGCTAGATGACATGAATGTTTGCATAGTTCGATGTGAAATTCCTTTACTAAGTAATGTTAGATGATGTGTTGTGACTGAGTCGAACGGCAATTTAAGTTTTCTCATACATTATTCAAGAATAATAAAATCTAGCCAAAGTACTATTTCCCGTGTGATTAAGCTAGAAAACGTTTCCGATATATTATTTCCTGGGATTCTATTTCTTATTAGTACTTTTATTAAAACCGCTGACTTTCGTCTAAATCCATTGTTTTTCTTTTCTCAGAGCAATTTATTTCCATAACGTAATCATTGTGTTAAGGCATCTACAACCGCATGATCAATAATAAAACTTTGGTTTTATTAGGGTTAACGTTAATCTGAATACGATAGAGAAGTTGTTGGTATAAAAACAGAACGACATTTCAGAAAAAAAAACAAGGAAATGTAGAAACAACACATTCACATTTAAACACGAATGTTAAAACAAGTTCGTAATAAAATGTATGTAGAAAACTGGACTATGTTTGCCTTTATCGTTTAGGATGCAGGCTGTATAACTCCTTATTTTCTTATATTGAATGACAAGTCGTTTTCGCTTTCGAACAAGTCAGACCGTGCTTCAGTTGTTCCGTCTAAATGTAGTAAACTTTGTGACTAACAGAACAAGGTTATTTTACAACGTTTCGATGAGAGGAGGAAGGGAAGGTATATAACGAGATTGAAAAACGTTGGATCAGTTATAATTCATTTTCATACAAAGTATTTTTCATAATTTTGGTAAATTGCATTCGCGAGATAATAAAAGCTGACATTTAATAATGCCTTACCTTCTCATAGGGACAACAGGGTGGCATATATTTACATTGAAGGGACAATAATCATGTACAATATCGCGTGTAGGTAGCTTAGTGCGACAAGGTAGGAATAAACTTTGGTCAAGGAAATTAGTGTCTACAGTAAAAATCAATCTAATTACGAATTGAACGTTAAGCTAAGTTGGATTTAGTCAGAAAATGTCAGATCCACTGCGTTTCCTTTGTCTAGCGCATTAATCCAGAACTCCATAGCTATAAGGAGGTTCGTTGTGCAGGATAGACCCTTTCTAAAACCATGTTGTGCCATGTTCAGCAAGTTATTGGTTTGCATAAATGCCGTTATGATCCGTTTGATTATTCCTTCCAGTATTTTAATTACCGCACTGGTGAGGCTTACGGGTCTGTAGTTCGATGGAACTTGTCGTGGACCTGTTTTATGTATGGGAGTGACGATTGCGTCCTTCCAGTCCATAGGTAACACACCTTGGTCAAGTGACATTTTGAATATCACAGTCAGTGGGGCTGCGATATATTCGGCAATATGTCTCAAGATTTTGGGGTGTAGTTCATTTGGTCCTGTTGAAGTCTCCATGTTTAGGGTGCTAAGAGCCTTAAGCACATCGTTTTGGTCGAAGTCCACGGTGAGCAGTTGGTTTGTTGACTCTATATTTGGGTCTGGTTCTTTCTCTAGAGGGGGTTCCTGAGTGAAAACTGCCCCAAAATAGTCAGCCATAGCCTCTGCTTTTTCTTGATCTTCCTCTATCATTTTAGATTCACTTCCTACTTTAATTAGTTTGGGAATCCAGTGATGCATCCTTGTTCTGTAGTTTATGTACGAAAATATTCTCTTTGGCTGCTTGAGTGCAGATTGTGCCAGCTGCATTTCATAATTTCTTTGAGCTCCCAGAATTTTTGTTATACACTCGTTTCTTATCGATCTGTAGCGTTCCATCATACCTGCTGTACCAAGGCGGATGGCAACGTCCCAGTATTTCTTCTTTTGTCTTAGTAAATGTCGAATATCCCGGCCTATCCAGGGATGTCCGTGCTTCTTTTTCTCTGGGACAGTCCAGGGTATGTATGGTTGAGTTACCCGATTGTATAACTGCCTGAATAGGGTCCATGCCTCTTGTACTGATGCTTTTGAGTCAATTTCTCAGTTTTCAGCCGATGCTGCGGAGTTAATTACCTCCATATCTGCCTTCCATATGTTAGGTCGAGCCGGCGCAACTATTTGACAGGCAATCTCAGCCATGAACTTAAATAAGATGACTGCATGGTCAATTCTCCCTAGGGGTGGGAGAAAAGTCATTTGACCAACGTCATCACCGTGTGTGAAGACTAAATCTAAAAGAGAGGAGGAGTTTCTTAAGTCGTATCTTGTGGGATCTCTAATGTGTTGGAATAATGCTAATCCAATCGAGGTTTCTAACAGTTTGCAGTCGAACGACCCAGTTTATATATGGTGCATTAAAGTCGCCTACTACAAGACTTTTACCGTTGTTACACCAGGACTTAAGTTTACTCAGGATAAAATCTTCTGCTACACATTCTGGATTGCGATATACTACAACTAATTCAATATCTTGCCTTCGGCATTTCAACTTACATCTCACCAGTTCACATGTCCCTGAAACATGTGCTACTGTCTCAGCTAATCTTATGGTTAGAGCACTTTTCGTGTACAGAATAACCCCGAAGACATATTAATAAGAATCGTTTCATAGAAGCTAGTACGATCACCACCGCAGGGACAAATCCATGGCGCAAAATGAACTGATGCGCATTGGTCATCCTTGACCCTGACGGAGATCGATGATCGGTTCGACATTCAGTGAACAATCTTCCGGATGATTTCACTAGAGCTCATTGATATTCCACTGACTCACATACTGTAGCGATAAATAAATCCCCAAAATAAATAGCTCTGTAAGTCTTCGACATTGGGTGCTGACCACATTAGTTCTAATGGACTCACCTAACTGAAGGCGCCTGGTTATGCATTCACACCAGATCACGAGTGGGAACTCCGTGCTCAACAACTAATGCAATCGCTAGCCAGATTACATCAGACGGTCCGCGATATGTTGATAGCGCATCAAATATATCTCCGAACCTCCTCGCTTCTGTCTTTTGATTTCACTCGGTGGATACGATTCATAGTAGTAGGTGTTATTGGTTAAAACAATGTCAAACTCCAAATACCTGTGACATCTTCAATACTTTTATTTGATATTCTTCTCGCTACTCTAAACATCTATAATGCACAAATATTTCAGTTGGCAGATACACAACATAATCAACGTATGTGCAACAAAGAACTAAATTCTAGTCTGTACAAGTAAAGCACTAGTACCAATGCAATTGTAGTGGTTGTGCTTCGATAATTAATCACCCTCGAACCGTTATCGTATAATCTTCAACGATGTTTGAAATCAGAAGGCAAAAAGAAGCAGCTACTACAGTTTATTTAGTAGATAATTCGGACCACACAGCAGAGAGGCAAAATGAATGAGCAAGTGAACTACGATTGTAGCAGTAGCAGTAGTAGTTGTTGTAGTGAATGGGTGCAAATGTACACATATATATATATATGTATAGGAAAATGGGTGAGTCAGCGAATAGACTAAGCAGTTAATAATGAAGCTAGCAGAATGAATACATGCATAGGCGCTAAACAATGTTCAAGCACATGTATTTCATACAAGCATAATAATAAAGATAGTACAACAAGTTGTTATATCATGGATGACTTTGTCCATTAAATAGGTCAACAAAAGACCTTGACTGAACTAAACTCAATCGCACGTGAGTCGCTATACAACAAAAACTTCGATAAGAGCTAGTGTTCAGATTATGTAATCTTCCTGTAACACGCACATAGCATTTAGAAGTATGCGAATTGACATACTAACTACGAATCCCCGAAATAATACTCTTTAAGGCAGATAAAACTAGATGATCACAAATAAACGTTTCATATTCGTAATTCCTAATAAGTGCACAATCAAGTACCAAGGAATCATCGGTTAATACAAATCTTACAATAAGACAATGATATAGTGCTAACTATGCAACACAATACGTCTTCGTTGGTGTTGACCTGGCGTCAAAAATTCTGGATTTTGTGATCATCCTTCTACATTAGAGATACAGTATTTTGGGAGATAATCTGGTACCATTTTAATACCGTTTCATTGACTCTGCGATTGCAAGAGAAGTTGAAAGTATAATTCACAATTTAACTGTCTATGGGAGCTGTAAGTATGTATTAGAACACATAGTTTCACTGTGATTTCAGCAACATAAAGAAAATCACAGCATGCATCGATGTTGTTAAGCTAGTCGTTAGCATAGCTTGACTACAGTATTCTTCATTTAATATTGAATGCAACAAACTAAAAGGTGCGCCACTTCACGTCTTCGTTTTTCTGTTTCTGGCATTTTCACATTTTAGTTTTAGATTTCTCGCAATTTGTATTACTAACTTAGAAGTTCATACTTGCAGTCAGTAAACATAAGCTATGTGAGTAACCAATTGGGATTAAACTTCTTTATATCCACATTACATATTCAAGAATTTAGATGTAATCGGTAAGGAAATGTGTCATAATTGTTCTCCCATGGATACTGGGTTGGGTTTCGGTTATAGTTGTTGTTGTCACTACTTATTTAGTAGTCGTGCATATGACTGAATCATTCGGTATTTTTAAGAATTCGTAGTTTGGATACTAAGAGCACCATGGTTTAGTCAGTCGTTAACACCACAGACTTCAAAACATACGGTCTCGCCAAAGTAAGATGCCAATGAAGTATATGTAAGTTACGCAATTTATATATTCTGTACAGAAGGATTGAGCATAGGCAGTATTCTTCCATAAGAATGAATTCTATAGATAGAATGCGCAAGATGATTTTGAAGCTCGAGATTCAATTAGAAATGACAGTTGATTAATTTCACGGACCAATGTCACGTTTTCTGGTTGCCCTCTAGCTGTTTTGTAGCTTACTCTTATACTAGCCGTCATTTAGCAACGTGGTAGCTGAGTATACGTAATACAAGTCCCACTCACCTTATTTGTTGACAATCCGGTTCTTGATCAGTCACCGTGC